AACGGGGTGCGGGGGTCGCCACGAGAGGTGCCTACAGCGACGATGCTCGCCTCAGCTGCAAGCAGTTCCTTCTCGAGGAGGGCAACAGTGAGCTCAGTGGGGGAGCGAGAGAGGAAGTGGTCCCTGACTGCGCGCAGAGAGTCAGGGAGGCGGGTGACGATGTGGTAGAGAGTGATCCAGAGCGGGGGGGGGTTGCTAGTGAGAAACTCGGCAGGCATAGCAGCGCGAAAGCGGGCCTCACTAGTCTTAAGGTGGGTGATGAGGTCTGCGACAGTGTGAAAGGAGGCTAGGTCGGGGAACAGGTAGGGGAGAGTGAGGCGGCCTAGCGTGGCAGAAGCGGGTGAGGAGTAGCGGGCAACTACAGCGGTGTAGAGGTCCTTAGCAGTCTTGCACTGGCCGAAGTGCTCGCGCTCGTCTAGCGGCAGGGAGTTGCGAATAGCAAAGCGAGCGTGCGCATCACGGGTCTGCCACTGGGAACGCAGAGTGCTGTCAGCAGACGAGTCAGGGGCAGTGGCATGGCCTAGGGCATGGTCGTACAGTGAGATATCTTCCTTGGCAGTGAGCTGTAGGAACAGGTGCAGGTCATCGAGCCAGGTTTCAAACTTCACTGGACGGCCCTCGGCATCGAAAGCTAGAACTGGCGGACTAGCCATAGTGACAGTAGCAGTAGTAGTAGGAAGCGTGGCAGCTGTGTGCACGGTAGGTAGAAAAGAAACAGCAGTGAGATCGAGTGCCTCGCGGGCAGCGGCTGCAGAGGCGCACGGACAGCAGTGGTGCACAAGCAGCAGCGGAAGCAGCGGCGTACGAGCGGTTGCGGGCAGCGGGGCGTCTGCGAGCGGCAGCGGCTGCTGGCCTGCGGCGCACTAGCGGTAGCGGGCGACTCACGGGCGGCGGCTGCAGAGGCGCACGGGCGGCAGCGGCTTATGCGCACGGGCAGCAGCGCCGACAGCGCACGGGCGGCTGCAGCAGCGAGCGGTGCGCAAGCAGCAGCGGCAGCAGCGCACGGGTGGCAGCGGCGTCGGTGCACGGGCGGCAGCGGCGTCGGCGGACGGGCGGCTGCGGGCAACGGGCGTGCGGCAGCTGCGGCGGCGAGCTGCGGGCCTGCGGGGCCACGGCGGGGTGCGCGCGAGCGGGCGACGGGCGGCTGCAGCAGCGGGCGCGTCAACAAGGCGCACAGGCAGCGCGCGGGCAGCGTGCGGGGCCGCGCGTAAAGAAAAACAGCCGCGCGCGTGCGGCTAGCGGGGCGCGCGCAGCGAAATCGACCGCGCGCGGGCGGGTAGCGGGATGCGCGCGCTAAAAAAAAAAGTCGAGTCGCGCGCGGGCGGCTGGCGGGCTGCGCGCGCGCGGTAGGTAGGAGGCGCACGAGGGCGCGTAGGCGCACGAGGCGCACAGTAGGTAGGTAGGTATGTAGGTAACGGTGGGCCCTAAGAACGGTCCCGAATGACCTGCTCTGAAACCATGTCAGTAATAACGGACTGGAATGGTGAACTAGAAAGGATTGTGAGTACAAATATGAAACCCTAATGTTGTGACCCCCCTATAGGCTAACCCACTACAGCCTACACAAATACAACATGTATAATGTTTGACACGTTTCTCCGTGACTCTTGTGTAGTCACGGAGTTCGTCGGTCTACTGACGGTGGAGAAATGCGATGGCCCTTCCTTGCTTTCCCTGCTGCTGACCCTCCTTGACTCGATTGGCATTGACAAGAGCAGGGTGGCCGGGATTAGCACGGATGGCGCAGGTGCGATGATGGGAAGCACTAACGGCCTGGTGGCTCGGCTGCGTGTAATGGTCCCGCACCTCTTCTCCAGCCATTGCGTTGCACATCGGTGAGTACTACCTCAAGCCGATGTGAGCAGCGCATTATCTAAAGCTCATGCCATTCCCCACCCTTTCTGTTTTTTCTCTACTTTCCTCTGCCCCCCCCTCTCCCTCCCTCCCCGCTCCAGAGAGGCGCTGGCTGCCAAGGACGCCGCCATTGCAGTCCCTGATCTCGGCCTCATCGACTACGTGGTCAAGGAGCTCGCGGAATATCTGGGAAGGTCGCAGCCCTCCCACAATGACTTCCAAGAGCTGCAGGAGGTGTTCTGCAAGACGAACCTGGAACTGCAGGGAATACACTCAGTGCGTTGGCTTAGCCGCGGCGATGCCATCACGCGCTTGGTGCGTGTGCTCCCTGCCGTCATCGTGCTCCTGTGCGAGTGGGAAGACGACTTCTACCACATTGTGACTTCAGTGAAGTTCAATGTGTATCTGTACTACCTCGCCGACATGCTCCACCTCCTTAACAGCCTCAACCTTGAGTTTCAAAGGCGGGAGGTGAGTGGCCTTTGTAAGCCCGAGACTCGTTTCATTCTTGTTTGTACGGTCCCTGTTGAAACTGTATCTTGCTCCGTTGCAGGTCGACATGACATCGGTGCAGTCGACCCTGCGCCGCACCCTGATCACCATCCGTACGCGCTACATCGAGTGCGGCGGCGATGACTTCGGTGGCGGCCCGCAGCTACATCTCGGGGCCTTTCTGGCCAGGCTCAAAAAGTCCCCGACAATCACAGTGGCAGGTGTGGACAAGGAGGGGGAGAAACGAGAGCATAGCTTCGACCTGCACGAGGAGAAATTGACGGGCTACAGCAAGACCCCGGACGACTTGCAGTCGTGCCTCGACGTCTGCCGCCGCCACGCCAATTCGACGCTCACCCACCTTCAAAAGAGGCTGGGGGATCTCGACAGCCTGAACGGTGTCCGGCTGTTTATGCCAGACACGTACCCTGAAGACAAGGAGGCACGCGCTGTGGAGTGCCGCGAGCACTTCGAGTCCCTCGTCGCCCTGTTCCATGCCCGCTCGCGATCAGACATTCTCCCAGGTAAGCATTAGTGTTCTGCTCCTACCCGTTGTACTGCTCCTGCTCGATCTGCACTAGTGTTCTCCAACCCCCCAGTCTCCCACAATCTGCCAAGTTCTCTCCCTGCTATGTACATATCCACCTCTCTGACTTGTTCTGCCCCTGCTCTGTCACGTGTGTTATGTGTGGCAGGAGTGGACAAGCGAGCTGCCAAGAAGGAACTGAGGACATTTTTCCCTGTTCTGGCTGGCGCTCCCAAAGGCGAGCGCACATTTCAACGCGGACTGGCGGCCATGCTGCGAACGAAGGACTGGGAGCGGAGCTACCCCAACCTCGTCCGCCTCTGGACAGCGGTGGCTGTCCTGCCGCTCAGCACCGTCGAGTGTGAGCGCGGCTTTAGCCGCCAGAACGTGATTAAGTCCTGGCAGAGGACCAGCCTCTGTGATGCCAGGCTCAGTGACTTGATGTGCCTGAGCCTAACAGAGTATGACATGGAATGGGGTAAAGTGGTGGATTTGTGGCGCAGCAGCAAGAAGAGGAGGCCTATTAAGAGAAGGGAGCAGCAAAGGAAGGCGGGGAAGGGGAACGGGGGGGAGGACGGACAAGAAGCAGATACTGAACATGGCAGCGGCAGCAGCAGCGACAGTGGGTTTAGTAGCAGCAGCGAAGATGATGATGATGAGGAGGAGGGGGGCTAAGGGGTGGTGCAGGAGTTTAATTGCCTAGTAAAACACCAACTATATGTGCGCTGCAGCGCTGCGGCTGCTCTGCTATGCTAAACAGAGTCTGGTCTGGTCTGTTTGTGCTAAAATCAGAACCCTGAACATTACTATTTTTGCCCTGACAGGTCAGGATTATTTTCTGCAAAAGCCCTGACCAATCAGGAAGGCTCTGAAGATTTGCCCTAAAAAATCAGGGCATTTTTTTGGATTCTAGAAAAGTGCCCTGAGGGCTCAGGGTGCCCCAAAACCTAGCACGGGCCCTGGAGTACATATAGGAAACCCTAAAAGGGTTGTACTCTTTGTTGAGTACCCCACTATAGCCTACACAACACATAACATTCTGACACGTACAAATCAGGGCACCCCTCTACATTCACCCTGATGCTTCAGGGCAAAATTTCACTGCCATTCTGAAATTTCAGGGCAAAACACATGAATCATCCTGACGTCACAGGGTAAATTTCAGCGTCATTTTGAAATCTCGGGGCAAACTTAAAACGCCATCATTAAATCGGGGTAATCAGGTTGTTTTACCCTGATATCGTAGGCCCCGGAAATCATAGCTAGGCGGGAAGTTCGGGCGAAGATGGTTCAGAGGGATTGCGTTTAGTGTGGGGGCGACTTGAGAGTGGTTTGGTGCGACGAACTAGGCCGAACCGATCTGGCACGTGGTCCTCGGGATGTACTCGCTAAAGTGCGAGTACAGAAAGAAATTTCTAATTCCTTAACACCCTGCTTTTTCTCAACCCATCCCTGCCCCAAACGAAGCCCGAGGAAATCCTCGTTAGTAGAAAGGCGCCTCTTCAAAATTCCTCAGATCCCTTCGGGATGGCCTGCGAAGGGTAACTGAGGAGAGAGCTCGATGACATTGCGAGCCCCTCGGCTCCAGTCCAGTGTCGTCTTGCTGCGTGTAGAACTGAACTACGAGCTGCCCTGTAGTCAAGCGATACGTGTGAAGTCGAAGTAGCTGCTGAAAGCACACGGCTAGCCGAGTGAGCATCCTGCTAGCTGCGACGCACGCATTCCGCGAAGCACGCGTTCTGCGGCAGCGACTCGTCGCTGTGCTGCTCCAGGTGAACGGGCGAATCCACCGTCGTAACAGCAGTCGCGTCTAGCTAGGGTCGCCTTACTCAGAAAGAGCACATTCTGCCGACCTTACTTGACCTTAATTAACCTTCGAGCCTATTTTATACACTCGTGGAGTGGTAGGAGCCATTTAACTCTGGCAGGGCTGTGTCGGGCGTCACTATAGCTGCGAGTTACTGCACACGATCCACATCCACAATCCACATCCACGATCCACGAGGCTGTTGATCATGGCCTCTAGTACTACCCACATCCACGATCTCCTCGACGACATCCTTCTTAGAATCCTATGGCCGTCCGGACGGTCAAGCCGCTCTTGCCGATCCGACAGCGATCATGAATCATGGAAGTCTGTGACGCCTCCGCCAAAGTTCGTCTACGCGCACGCGCTTCCAGACGAGCCGTGGTGCGCGCTAAGCGACACTCTGTTGCCGATTCCCGCTACTAGCTCCGCAGATGCCGCTCACAACCTGTTCATCGCGTCGATCTGCCGTCGCTGGCGGCGCCTCGCGCAGAGGCATGTCTCGTCGCTCGTCGTCAAGGCAGGTCGCGTCGTGTCGTACCGCGATGTGCTCAACGCAGTCGATTGCTTCCCAAATCTCACGCACCTGCATCTGGCGGATGGTAGCGTTGAAACCCTCGACGATGCGTTTCTAGCTGACCTCGCCGCGTCGTGCCCTGGGCTGAGAGCGCTGCACGTGGGGAATCTTACGATGGAACCGGGCGGAGGACTCTTCGCAAGGGATGACTACAGGATAACGGAATCTGGCCTGGATAACTTTTTCCGTCACTGCCCTCATCTGGAACATCTGTCGCTGCATTGCCTTGAGAAAAACCTGAACCCTCCGGCTTCTTTCTTTCAGCTGCAGCATCTTCGCACGCTCTTTCTTACCACTGCGTTCATCCTCAAATCTCCAAATCTCAGCTCCCTTACAACCCTCACAGACCTCTCCATCCAAACCTCCTCCTTCCTTCCCTACGACCAGCTTTCGAACCTCCTTCAACTCACCAACCTCACCCGCCTCTCCCTACCTGACGATATCCGCGTGGTGTCACCAGATCCGCCTACCTTCTCATTCCCCGAGCTGCCTTCTCTCCACTCACTCAAGTTCGGACAATACAACGCTCCGTTCAACGTTTACTTTCCTCTCGAAACTCCCTACAGGCTGCTGAAACGGCTACAGCTTACCGATTGCTATCCTCACGAGCGTCTTCCAGACAGGATCGGACAGCTGCTGCCATGCCTCCAAGAGCTCATTATTTTTAACTGCAGAAGTCTCACTGATCTGACCGATGAGTTCTCCTCCCTCACCTGCCTGGAGAGCCTCACCATTTCCACGTGCAGCGTGTTTTTTCTGCCCGGAAACTTTGGGAATCTTACCGCATTGAAAGCCCTGGTGCTGCGCAGGCTGCCGCTCCTCCACCTCCCTGCTTCCTTCACCAGACTCGCTCCTCTGGAGACGTTTCTCCTGGTGGAATGCGAGGGGATGGAGCAGCTACCTGCGGGGTTCGGATCCCTCACAGCACTCCGGACGCTCAGCCTGGCTTGGTCTCCCACCCTGAACCTTCCGGAAGACCTCGGGAGTCTCGCCAACCTCCTCACCTTCCATCTGAACAAGAACAGCCAAGCGCAGCTGCCGCTCACATTCACTCAGCTAGCTTCGCTGACCAGATTGGAGCTGGATCAGTGTGGGATTGCTGATCTGCCAGAGGGAATGGCGGAAATGACAAACCTGCAGGAGCTTTACATTCAGAACTGCCCGGCGTTGAACGCGCTTCCGGAGTTTGTAACCGCGCTGGTCGGCCTTGAAGTGCTGCGGATCGAGGAGTGTCATGTTCTCTCCGCGGTTCCCAGGAGGCTGGACAGCCTAACCCGTCTCACGCAGTTGGAGCTACGGGAGTGTTGGATGCTGAACAAAGCCCCTGAGGCTCTGCCTCTCAGCCTGCGGGTTCTGTCCTACGAGAACAACCAGCAGGGGGCGTCGCTGCCGGACGTTTCAGCACTGACAGGGCTAACAGAACTGTGCTTGGGCACTGTGGGTGCAGCCTGTGTTGAGACCATCAGTGAGCGTCTCTCCCGTGTGATCCATCTGCAGCTGGTATTGGGAGAAGAGGCAGGGGAGGCTCTGCCTGCGTTGACAAGGCTTCCCCGCCTGCGCTCATTGACACTCAGGGAGATTCGCAGTGTGAACGATCTGGTGGGATCCGACGGCTGGGGATTGCAGGAGCTGCGGCAGCTGAACCTCATCACCTCGCGGGAGGAATTCACAGAGCTGCCTGCGGCCATCACCGCTCTCCACCGCCTCACATCCATCCAGATCCTCGCGCCGAAGCTGTCCTCTCTTCCAGACACCATTGGGTCATTCCCAAGACTGCGCGAGCTCAACTTCTCTCACTGCTCATCGCTCACGCATCTACCTGCTTCTCTCACACTTCTATCCTGCTTGTGTGAGTTGGATGTGAGCCACACCAGCATCAGGCTGATTCCTCCTGGTTTCGCTCAGCTCAAGAAACTAAGGAAGCTCAGTTACCATAACTGTATCCACCGCCAGGCTCTGCCTGATGACCTTAATGATCTGTATATGCTCAATTTTTCTTACGGTATGTAATTTACAGGTAGACAGTCATTTGGATCTGCACTGCATATACATGTAAGGACTTCTAGTGCAGCCCTGGCACGATATTCGAGAAACATTATTCGAGAAACATGGCACGATATGTGTATGCATACCAAATTCAGGCATCTCTTGGCACATGGCTGCATCTGCACTGCTACAACACCACACAAGGTTGCCAAATGAAAGGGATACGGTTGACAACTTGATATGTGAGGCGCTCCGGTTTGTCATGGGTAGGCTGATGAGAAGAGTAAGCTTTGCAAGGCTTTAGAATAGCATGTCACCCCTTTGTCCCCACATCCTCCCCCCCCCCCCCCCCCCCACACACACACACGCACAGGCGGCATGCGGCTTGCTAGAAGTTTTTCACACCTCTCCATGACCATTCCCTGCTGTTAAAATTGCATAACTGAAAAATTGACACTGAAAAGGCAGGATAAAGAGGGTAAAACACCTGAACTTTAGAGCCCAATTTGGCAACATCTACCATGGATGATCATGCCGCCAAGATACGCAGACACGAGCCGTTAAGCTATCCTGACAGAAGAGCCGGGGAGAAACTCGAGAATGTAGAACTTTAGAGTCGTATCAGAGGGTGTTAGCGAGCAGGTGGCATTGTGGCAATGGCCACCACCACCACCACCACGTGCTGTATCCTAATGGATGGAGGATCAAGTATGGGCATCTATTTGCCACGGCATACCGCAATTTGGGTCCCCTGTCAGTGCCTTACCTTTCCTCCCCCATGCTCTATGTAATGAACCAAGGACCTCACGACAGCCTCCCCAACGCTACCTCTCATCACCACCTTCCCAGGCTTGACCATCCCATAGCAGTGGTAGTGATGATCGCGCGGACACGTCTCCATAAACCGCGGCGCCTCCACTTGCCAGCTGTCGAAAAACTCTATACGGGGGACAGAACCGCCAGCCGTGCCAGGACCACCAGCAGGCGCGGCATTACCGCCGACGTTGATCTGGTCAGCCAGATGTTTGGTCAGGCGATTAGCAGCGGAGAGAAAGAGGTTGGTGGAGGGGCCTTCGTAGAAGCGGCTTGCAATGCTGCAGCTGGCCCCGCCATTGGGTGCTGGCGGTGCAGAGCTCACGATCAGCCGAACCCGCCGAGTGCCTGCGGCTGCCGAGCCTGATGCTGCCGAGCCTGTGGCCGCCGAGCCTGTGGCTGCCGAGCCTGTGGCTGCCGAGCCTGTGGCTGCGGAGGCGGCTTGGGATTGGGCCCAGGCGAGGTATTCAGGGAGGTGGGTGCGGAGGGCTGAGAGAGGGTGCAGACAACGCCTGCCGGCCCAGTAACCGCTGTTGATAATGATGACGTCACTTGAGCGGGAGATTTTGGGGAAGAAGTCGTAGTGATGTGAGAAAGCCCCTCGATACCTGGAGGGTGGATGGGGATGGGGATGGGGAAGCCAAGTGCTTCAGCTATAGCTTGTCTTTTAAGACGTCAAGCAAGAGAGGTTTGGAAACATGCACGTGCATCTGAACTCTCACTTTCGTGCAAGCAAGTCCAAATCCAAACCCTTTCAAGCATGGAATTCTAAACTCTCCCCTGATTCAAAACACGCACATTTATTCAAACCCTCTCGCACACATGTGCATCCGAACTTGTCGTTGCGGCAAAACCCATCCACCCAGTAAAATTTGAAGCGGAACTAGCAGAGAGAGGGAGGAGGAAGAGGGAACGGGCAACTTTTGAGGCGCCTCAAAAGTAGAATTTGAAGCGGAACCAGCAGAGAGAGGGGGGGGAGAGGGAACGGGCATATTGACCACCTGCGTGCATCCAACCTCGTCGTTGCGGTAGATCCCATCCACCCAGTAAAAGATGATGAAAAGGTCAATCCATAAGACCGGGGAGGGGGAGGAGGAGAGAGGGGAGGGAGTGGGCACAAGGGCCACTCACGTGCATCCGAACTCGTCGTTGCGGTAGATGCCATCCACCCAGTAGTAGTTGATCCTTAGCGTCTCGTTCCTCTCGTTGCGAGCCACAAAAGCCAGGTCGTGCTTGCCGATCCAGTGCCGCAGCTCCGCCTCGCCCGTCAGCAAGTAGAAGAGGTGCGTCGCAAGCATGCGGTGGTGCGAGTCCCCTGCGATTGAGATCTCTCTGATGCCGCGGCGGTTGAGGGACGAGATCCACTCACCCACTGGTGTCTCTGGCGGGGCACACGGGAAGGGTACCCACTTCCACATGCTTTTGCCCGTGCTGCTCATGCTGCTCATGCTGCTCTTGCTGCCGCTGGTGCCACTGCCACTGGCACTGGCATAGGCACTGCCAGCGTCACTCTCGCTCTCTGGATTCATCTCAAGCCATCTCCCCATAACTGACCCTCTGCACGGACTATTGTTCCTCCCCGCCTCTCTTTCCTGTTCGCCGTCTCTACCAGACAGTTGCGAATCGTCCTCTTCATCTCTCACTTCTCTTCTTCTCTCGCTCTCAGACTCCTCTGCTCTCGCTTGTAGGACACGTGGCAGCCCTGCCGTGGCTGCGAGCAATAGCCGGTGGGTGATAACCTTGCTAGTGGCTGCTTCGTTATAAGATGGTCGGTTGGTGGCTGTTGCTTCGTTATGAGAGGTAGGTGGTCCGCTGGGAGAGGGCGTGTGTGATGGTAGGACCGTGATGGTCCATGCTGCCACGTCATTGGCGCCGGTTGGTGCGTTGTTGGAAGAAGGCGAGGGGGAGGAGGAGGAGGAGGAGGAGGAGGAGGAGGAGGAGGAGGAGGAGGAGGAGGAGGAGGAGGAGGAGGAGGAGGAGGAGGAGGAGGAGCAGGAGGAGGAGGAGGAGGAGGAGGAGGGGGAGGAGGAGGAGGAGGAGGAGGAGGAGGAGGAGGCGGAGGAGGAGGAGGAGGAGGAGGAGGAGGGGGGTGAGTGGGGTGCAAGAAGAAGGTTGGAGCATCCTGTGTGGAGGGAGGCCCTGTGACATCAGACGACATGAGATGACGTGAGATGGGAGGAGACGAGGTGAGACGTGATGAGAGGAGATGAGAAGACATTGATTGAGATGAGATCATAAAAAATCACATGGGCAGAAGACGGATAACGAACATATCAGAAAAAAAAAACGTGAGAGGGAAGGTGTAAGTGGGTTCAAACAGATCACAATCTCATAGCTGACTAGGACAGAGATGACCAAAGACAACGAGACGAGAAGAAACGAAGGCGACAGGTGAGCGGGTTACTGTGTGGGTTCACCCAGATCACGTCAACCATCACTAACAAAACGACTAAGCTCCACCTCCGAAATCACCCAGCAACGCAACCAGGTCCTTCCTGGGTGGACTCAGGAGTCACCTCGGGTACCACAACCATTCCCCTGGTCACCTTGACCAAGACAATTCCGGTGGTTTCCTCCGTTACTATAACATTTTTTTTACAAACACCAATCACCCCCCCGCCTCAAATCTATCAATCACTCACTGGTACGTCCCGGCGTCCCAGGCTCGGTAAGCGGCGACGAATCGGGAGCAGGTGGGAGGGTCGGCACAAACAGGATCGGCGTGGAGCAGCGAGGGGCCGATGAGGGAGAGAGAGAGCTCGCGCTTCCACCAGCTCAGCACGGACGAGTTTGAAGGATAGCTGGGTGGTGATGTGCTGCTGGTGCCGGTGGTGGCGGTGGTGGCGGCGGCGGTGGTGTTGTTCTCATAAACGGGAGGGAGTGTCCACGTGGCGCCTGGCGACTCGACGCTTATGAAGAACGAGCAGGTCTGACCTACAGTGCAGGTTGAACAGCCGCTGCCGTAAACAAACAGGCCCCCGCGCCCAATAGCGGGTTCTTGTGCTAGCAGTAACGGGGATGACGGTTTTTCTGACGTGGACATCCAGCAAAGGGGGAGATCCGGATTCCGGGGAACCCACACGACTGGTGGAGACACGTCACCGTCATTAGATGCCATACTAGAACCCACCGCGGCACTGTACAGCTCAATTGCCACGTCAGCATCCAGCATACCTGCAGTTACATTCTCCGACCTGCCTCTGGGAGACGTAATCAACGGTTGTAGTTGATTGATCGGTTTCAACGGCTCATTGGATGGTCGCGTTCCAGAACCAGTTGAATCTAACGGCTGAAATTGTAGCTCGGGCTTTTCACGCAGCTGTCGCGATCCCGGAATTGTTACAAGTTGTAGCGATATCATTTTTGGCGAGACTTGTTGTGACTCAGTCACCGCAGGCTGTGGTGATGGTGCTCTCAACGGCCGGGAATCCACTTGAAACGAGTCTGCTCTTCTCGGGGACAGAGGGGGAGGCGAGGCCGGGGGAGTGGCGGCGGGAGGCCAAGGGGGGAAACTGCGCATTGGGGGTGAAAAGGGAGGGTGGGGTGTAAGGGGGGCAAGAAGCGGAAGGGAAGGGGAGGTGGGGGGGAAAGCAGAGGGGGACATCCTACGCGAAGGCTGCTGAAGTCCGCGAAGCTGTATACATCCATCTACGTAACGCGAAGTATCGATAGCACACTAAGCTTGTCACACGCACACTAGCTAGTGGCACTAAGCTGCAGTACAGAAAAGCTTTCTATATCATATACTACCGTACCATGACGCCCACTAAGCTTGACGCACCTTGGGAGTCCGTCACCGCCGCTGCCGGCGAGTTTCAAATCCGCGAGACCCGCGACGGGCGGCTGGCAGTTCCGCCTGTCATCGCCTTGCGCCGCGTGGCGCGGCCACAGCTGCACAGCTGCGCGCACAGCGAGCAGCGCGAGAAGGAAGCTAATGAAGAGGCGGCAACGCCAGCGGCTCCGGGTCGCGTCCGCAACCACTGGTTGTGGCAAGTCCCGCAGAACAACCAAGTCGACGCGCTCGGAGAATAACCCGCACACGCCGCTCCCTTCCCGAGCGTGATTTGCGTCTGGAATCATATCTTGATGATCTTGGTGATTGTTTTTCAACTTGCCAATCTCAGGCTCCATCTTGCTGACTCTCCTCTTACTGCCTCCGCTCCACGGATTCTGAGGATTCTCGCCGAGGGGTCGGTGTTTCTGAGGGTAGTAAATGCTTCAAACGCGCTTGTTAGTATTTTCAAGCAGGATGTTTCTACTGCCTGCTCGAGTTCCAACTTTGGAGAACTATATGCGGAAAAGGTAGTCGATGCCGCATGAGGAAGCAAGTCGAGACCGGCGCCTGGCGTCTTTGAATCCATAGTACCGTACTACGTGACGCAGAGTCCACTCCGAGTCGAACTGCTTTGAAAACGAGCAGTCAGCGATTGATTCGCTGCACCCGGTCGAGAATTGTTCGCCTACATTGTAGATACAATGCTAAATAGAGTAAATTGAATGTAGCAAAACGTATAAGTACATAGTACGAGGCTCTCCCGGCACTAGATTTCCCCACCTGGCTCCTACGCGCTGAGTCATCCGGGCCGCAAGGGCACAGTGCAGCCTACATAAACCCAGCTCGGTTCAAACCTAACCGACTTGAAGCCGATTTCTGTGTCCTATCACATACGCCCAATAGTGTGATGACGAATTCCGATTTGCTGCTCGCGCGACGCGGGAGGAACCCGGCCATTGTTGAGTGCAAAACAGGGCGAGATCGCGCGCGCAGACTTGATTTGCGCAGGAGGAACTAGGGGGACCTTGTTGCTCCTACAGTAGCACAGGCACATGTTCTGACTGAACTGAAAACATGTGGCCGTGTGGGCCGCTCTTGCCTTGCCTCCGTCGAGCCGCGTTGGTAAAATTGAGTGGCGGGCCTGCGGTTCGTCAGAGCAGCAGAACCGAACCAATTGACGCACCGTGCCTGTCGCAACCCCGACGTTCAGCGGGCCGACATATGCGATAATGCAACCTTGTCCACTACAACCTTGTACCTTGTATCTTGTATCTCAGAACAATATGCTCCATTTCCAGAAACGAGTATCCCTATTCTTCAGTGTAGCACCTCCTGTAGTTCCCTTGTGGGCATGTCTTTTGCCAAGTGACGAGGTTGATACACCCTAACTCTCGCGAAATTGCCCACACTAAGCTGATAAAGGGGCAGTCAAGATGCCTTACTCAATACAAGACAATGTCGAAAGTTCTACTGAGACCACAGGGCCTCATCCCCGATCCCTACACCTCCTCCTGTTAAATTGTTATATGTTGGTAGGCTGTAGTGGGGTAGCCAATATGGGGTACAACCCCAACTAGGGTTTGCTACTTGTACCCAACTGTTTCATTCAATGCATCATTCTCATGCTAGTATTATAATATGGTATCAGAGCAGGTGGTCCCTAGGACCATCCGATCGTTTTTTTTAGGGCCCACCACCGCACGCTGCGGTTACCGCGTTACCCCCGCGCCCTACCCTCGTAGCGCCCTCGTTGCGCCCTAGCGCCCTCGTAGCGCCCTTGTAGCGCCCTCGTGCGCCCTGCCGACCGGCGTCCTGCCAGCCCAGAGCCCCGCGCGCCTCCCCCTCCCCTGGCAGTGTGGGCGAGGTCTCCGGCAAGGAGACACGGGGCCAGAGGTTGAGCTGATGCGCGGCGTACCGGACAGCAAACGGCCACAGAAAATGGGGAGCCGCCGCATGGACCAAGGAGGTACGAGCGACCTCCATGACCAGGCCAATGCGGCGCTCAGCAACCCCATTCTGCTGTGGGGAGTCCGGAAGCGTGAAGGTCTGCTCGATGCCCTGGTCGCTGAGCTTGTCGACTTTGCTGCTGCTAGTCGCCTAGACTACGCCGCCAGTCTTGTTGCTGAGTCTGAGTCTGTCTGTCCTCCGTCCGTCGGGGGTGAGTGTGCTCTTGGCACGGACGTCATTGAGGACAGGCAGGAGGACTTTGACTGTCTTGCGGTTGCTGTACCTCATCTCGTGGCCTGGTTGCTTGCCCCTGAGGGAGACCCGGATGCACTAGACATCCCCACTCCGCGCTCTTACGCAGAGGCGATCTCGGGTCCCTACTCCTCTCAGTGGCAGACAGCCATGGACGCAGAGATGGCATCCTGGAAGTCCACAGGCACCTACGTCGACGAGGTTCCCCCTCCTGGGGTGAACATCGTCGATGGCATGTGGATTTTCAGGGTGAAGCGGCCGCCAGGTTCTCCACCTGTCTTCAAGGCTCGTTACGTTGCTAGAGGCTTCAGTCAGCGTCACGGGGTTGACTTCTTCCAAACCTTCTCCCCCACCCCGAAGATGACCACTCTTCGGGTTCTGCTGCACGTTGCTGCTCAGCGTGACTACGAGCTTCACTCTCTTGACTTCAGCACAGCGTTCTTGCAGGGCAGCCTGCACGAGGAGATCTGGCTGCGCCGCCCACCTGGCTTTACTGGGTCGTTTCCTCCTGGTACCCAGTGGAGCCTCCGGCGGCCAGTCTACGGTCTCCGCCAGGCGCCACGCGAGTGGCACGACACACTGAGGACTACACTTGCGGCTCTTGGGTTCGCGCCGTCTACTGCTGACCCGTCACTGTTTCTGCGCACAGACACGTCGCTGCCGCCGTTCTACATCCTCGTGTACGTCGACGACTTGGTCTTTGCTACTGCTGACACTGAGGCACTCGCTCGTGTGAAGTCGGAGCTGCAGAAGAGACACACCTGCACTGACCTGGGTGAGCTGCGTAGCTACCTTGGCTTGCAGATCACCCGGGACAGAGCTCGCCGCACCATCACCCTGACTCAGTCACACATGGTGCAGCAGGTCCTTCAGCGCTTCGGCTTCCAGTTCTCCTCACCACAGGCCACACCTCTGGCTACCAGCCACTCGCTCTCAGCTCCACCTTCGGACGAGTCCGTAGAGCCGCCCGTACCCAGAGCTTGTAGGCTGCCTCATGTACCTGATGACTTGCACGCGACCTGACCTCGCGTACCCTCTTAGCATCCTGACCTCGTTACGTTGCGCCTGGGAGACACAGGCGAGAGCACTGGGAGGCTGCTAAGAGGGTGCTGCGTTACTTGTGCAGTACATCAGGCATGGGGCTGGTGCTTGGAGGACGCGACAGAGTTGTCCTCACTGGTCACTCGGACGCTTCTTGGGTGGACGACCTGGCTACGCAGCGGTCGTCGCAGGGTTACACCTTCAGCCTTGGCTCTGGTTCTGTCTCGTGGCGGTCCACCCGCTCTTCTTCTGTTCTCAGCTCTAGTTGTGAGGCTGAGATCTACGCCACGGCCATGGCTGCACAGGAGTTACGCTGGCTCACCTACCTGCTGACTGACTTGGGAGAGCGGCCTAGTTCTCCTCCAGTTCTGTACGGCGACAACAAGGCGGCCCTTGCCTTGTGTCAGGAGCACAGACTGGAGCACAGGACGAAGCACATTGCTCTTCGCTACTTTCTTGCTCGAGAGCTTCAGCAGCGCGGTCAGCTTCGACTTGTGTACGTGGACTCGAAGGCCAACACTGCTGATATCTTCACCAAGGCGCTCCCGCCTAGTGATCATCAGCGGCACTGTACTTCTTTAGGCCTTGTGTCCACATTCCCTCATTTGCTTACTGCTTGACTTTCTTTGTACTGTACTTTATATATATCTTGTTGCTTGCTTGCTAGGTTTTGATCACTGTGTTGCTTGTCTTGTATTATATCTAGCACTGCATGTGAACTGGCCTTGTGGTCTTTGCTTGTGCTCAAAGTGTGGTGACGTTGTGATCCACCCTGGGCTTGCGTTGCTTTGCTGGACTGGTCTTGTGACCCTTTGTTCTCCCCCACTTTGCCTATGGGGGTGTGTTAAATTGTTATATGTTGGTAGGCTGTAGTGGGGTAGCCAATATGGGGTACAACCCCAACTAGGGTTTGCTACTTGTACCCAACTGTTTCATTCAATGCATCATTCTCACGCTAGTATTCTAATACCTCCACCATCCAATCATCTTGCAGGGTCTTTCTACTCACCTCACCCCTCCCCTTCTCTTCCCCCCCTCCGCTTTCCCTCCGTTTCTCCCTCCCCCTCCCCTCCCCTTTCTCCCCCACCCCCTCCCCCCTCTCTTCCCCCCTACCTTGCCTGCACCCACCCCTCCAGATTCCAACATTTCCTCACCACCACGCACTCTGTTCCATTCACCGTATCAGCAGCAGCAGCACCCCCCACACCCCCACCCGCATCCCCCAAACCCACTCGACGTGCCGATGTAAGCACCACCTCTCCACTCCCCCACGGCAGCAGCACAAAGTCCTGCCGGCAATACCCCAGGTCCAAGCCACGCCCCACACACGCCCCCTCCAACTCCCCTATCTTGCCAGCACCCATCCCTCAGAACTCCAACATTTCCTCGCCACCACACACTCTGTTCCATTCACCAGCAGTATCAGCAGCAGCAGCAGCAGCAGCAGCAGCACCCCCCACAGGAGTAAGCACCACCTCTCCACTCCCCCAAGGCAGCAGCACAAAGTCCTGCTGGCAATACCCCAGGTCCAGCCCACGCCCCACACACGCCCCCTCCAACTCCCCTTGCATCAGCGCCCCCACTGCCGACTCCCCAGACGCACTCAAGTGCTGAACAGCCCCAGCAGACGAGGAAGACGAAGAGGAGGAGGAGGAAGAGGAGGAGGAGGAGCCAGCCGCATGAACAATGCTTCTCCCCGTCGCGGCAGCCTGGGTGATATTCCGAGCCAAGGACACCAGCAGGGAGATCCCTACAATATCCTCCTCCCACAACCTCACTGGCCGGTCCTTGAGAAAATGCTTCCGGCATCCCAGCGCCGCGACCCCCCCCGCCCCCGTGATACTCTCCACAAAGCAATCCGCTACAGTCACATTCAGGAAAGCCACATCGGCCTCTGCCCATGTTCTTATCTCGTTTATCACAGCAGCAGGAAGCCCCTGGGTCGCTGTCGCAGGGGGACGTTTGGCAGCTTCCGCAGCAGCAGGGTTGAACGGCCAGAAAGGGCCGGGATGGCACTGGTGCTGGAAATACGGGAGACCGGAGGACAGCGCAAGGGTCTCGAACTGAGGTGAGTAGACATGGAACGGCATAATCTCAATCACGGGGGTTTCCCGGGTGGCAAAAGCAGCGGCTGTTGCAAGCTGTTCCCCGTGTAGCCCCAGAATGATATCGGCGCTGCGAATGGCAGAGTAGGAGCGGGAGAAGGAGGTATCGCGCATGGCGGCTTCGGTCACGGTGAACGAGAGCTTTGTTTGGAGAGATTTGATGAGGGAATCGAGGCTGTCTGGGACTATGGATCGCACGGCTGCGTCTGCTTGTCGCACAAAGACCACGTGGGAGGCTGTCGGTGGGGAGACAACCGCGGCGCCGGTTGCGTCGGCTGCTGGTTCGGCCGAAGCTGAGGACGGCGGAGCTGCATCAGAAGCCGGTGCAGTGACACTATCAGCAGCAGCAGCGGCAGCAGCAGCAGCAGCCGGAGCAGCAGCAGCAGCAGCAGCAGTGTCTAATCCCAGCTTAGCATCCACCTTTTGCAGGAATATCTCAGCCTGGATGCGACCCAGGGGGTAGATGGTCCCATCCAGTACGCCTGGCAGCACCACATGCTCAAAGCACATGGGAGCATCCTCTGTTGCTGCCGCCCACTGCCCCTCAAACTCCACCTTCCGCCCCTCCTCGTCCTCCACACGAGCACCCCCTCCCCCGTCCTGCCCTTGCAGCGTCGGCTCCTGGGGATCTACCAAGTTAGCTCTCTCCCACTCCCTGCTGCCTGCACGACCACCCACACCAGCCGCACCAGCAGCACCAGCACCAGCGGAACCGTTATTTCCCCTGCCGTTTGATTCAAACGCCGCTCCCAGCAGCTGTTCCAGAACGCCCACTTGGAATCCATCGGGGCCCAGCCCTTTCAGCACAGCACGATAGTATGAATCGCGGGGGAACACAAACCGGTGCACGGGCGGCAGCAGCGCGGGAACCGTCGCGTTGTTCACGAGCAGAATGGGGAAGAAGCGAGCAACAAAGGCTGAAACGTCCTCTGTTCCGGCCTCCATTCTCTGGATAAACGACCTGCCTAGCCGCCATGCCACCGGGCCTTTCCGCGTGCTGATCCAATCCGCTGGTCGAGTTGCGATCGGCCGGAATTCCCCGGCTTTTCGGACCAGATCGAGTGGATGCTGGCCGTTGATCTTGGCCTGGCAATTGAGGGCTACGATTTGCGCGTCTGGGGAGACGTCTGAGGTGAGCTGGTTGCAGGGGATGGGGGCTTCCGGGTTGGCGGTTTGTGCTATGAGCTGGCGGCCGTCCCAGCAGAGCAGATTGCATGTGCACATCACCTGGTAGTGTGGGGGAAGGGGAAGAGGAAGGGGAAGAGGGAGAAGAAGACCAGTTGAGATGTCTCACAAGGCAGAGGAGATTGCAGGTGCACATTGCCTGGTGGGCCGGGGGAAGGGGAAGAGGAAGGCTGAGGGGAGGAGGAGGGAGGAGGGACAGAACAGGGGGACGGAGCGGGGAGAAGGAGCGGCGGGAAGGAGCGGGGGGGAGGAGGGGGGGAGGAGGGGGGCGGGAAAGAGGGAAAAACAACTCGGCACAGGACCTGCTGAGGGCGGCACGCCTCAGTTTTGTTCAGGACAAGGGTGGGGACAGAAGAGAGACAGGGGGAAGAGAGGATGGCGCTGGGAAATTTTTGGGAGGAAGGTGGGTGGTTGCGGGCGGGGGAAGGGGGGGAGGGGGGGGGAAGAGGAGAGGGGGAGAGGTTGAGGGGAGCTACAGAGGAGAAGGGATGAGATACAACCCTAAACCCGGCAGACATACAAATTGATGGGCGCTGAGAAGCAGATAAACTTGACACGAAGTCCCCGCCCCACGTTCTGTTATTGAGTCGACTCAAAAATCGAAGTCCCCGCCCCATGTTCTGTGAGAACCACGCGCTTTGACAGTGCCCCCCATACATACTCGTGGTAGACTTTCCCTAAAATGCTTATGATTGGGCCCTACAAACAGCTCTTAGCCTTGGGGCGGGGGAGAGGGGGCAGGTGGGGAAAACAGGAGAGAGAGATAGAGAGAGGCGAGAGTGTGGGGGATAGCGGGGAAAAGGTGCGGGAGAGAAGGTTGGGTGGGGGTATAGAAGGGAGAAAGGAGGGAAAAAAGGGGGGAAAAAATGAGGGGAGAAAAAGGGGGAGAAGGGGGGAGAAAGGAGGGGAGAAAGAGGGGAGAAAAGGGGGGGAGAAAGGGGGTCCCCTTACATGGAATGCGCCGCCCGGGCCTGAGACCGTTTGAAAGCATCCGCACGACGTCTTGCCGCGCACCAGCGCGCTCAGCCGCGCCTTGCGCGCTTGTTCGGCCTGCGCCTGCTTCCGCGCAGCCTCCGCCTTGGTCGCCTTCGTGTCCGTCACTGCCACGTGTACGTCCATCGCCCGCACCGGCTCTTGCTGCTTCGCCGCCAGCGCCGCCGCGGCGGCGGCGGCGACGTTGCCGGCCGTAGCGCCGTCGCCGTCTGCGCCGCCGGCAGCAGCGGCCGGCACGGCGACGGTGGCCAGCTCGGTGTTTATGGCGGCGAAGCGCTGCGAGATGAGCCCAGGCCTGGATGGCTTGTAGGCGCGCGGGATGGAGAAGAGCAGCGTGACGATAACGACGCACGGCAGGACGAGCAGCAGCTGCAGGAAGAGCAGCGCCCGGGGATTCCCGGGCGATAGCAGCGACACCGCTATGCGCTTAGCCTCTCGCATGGCGACGGGGAGCGAGTGCGAGCGAGAGGGTCAGGGCGAGGGGGAATAAAGATACCCGGAGATACCCGGAGCTCAGGTATTTGCCGAATGCGGCGATCGTGTCGTCTGGTGCCGCGAGATCGTCAGTTGCTGATTTAGGAATCTTAGACACTACAGAATCGAAGGATCATTAACATGCACCTAATAAGGAGATCATAATGGCTGGCCACGATCCTCGCGCAACGTACTCCGGCGATCTTGATGTCCAAGTTGTCACCTTGCGTAAGGTGCGCGTGTGACCTCGGAAGATTAACCTCAGATAACTACATCCGATTACTGGCCATAAAATGTCTTACAGCCGTTGATTCGTGGCGTTGGCCTTTCGTCGCTACCAGAGAGAAGTTGGCGCCACGAGATCGACGTCAGTGATTCACCGCCGCTAATCACGGTGACAATGGTCGTGGCCGGCGCACGGGATAAAAAAAGGTTCTCTGGAATCCATCACCTGTGCATGAGGGTTGGTGGGGGAGTCTGCTTGGAGAGCGGAACCATTTTATTAACTGCTTCGGCATTGATGGTAATTGACTACAGAATTTTGTAACTTCATTATGAAGAAATAATCTTCAAAGCTGATAACAAAGCTTCATTCCTGGTCGCTGTACTGTTGACATCACCATGCATGCATCATACCTGCTTCTTAGGCAGATACACCTTCACCAGTTGAACTGCCATCATCGCAACGCAACCATTGGTCGCTGGTGCTGGCCAGCTTCATCTTCCCCCCAGCTTCAGTTCCTAACCTAACCAGCGAGCACCACCTGTCATACAAGCCAGACCTGCTTGCCAAACCTAGTACACACGGACCTAGCTACGAAACGCTGGCGCCTCGAAGCTTGGAATTTGCCGATAAAAGCGTTTTGAGGAACAAAACATAGAACCTAGAAATTGACAAACGCTCGCTATATCTGCCACCATTGAAGTGATCGCACCAGCGTTGCGAGCCCCACCAACCTTCGAGTGTCGTGGGAATAGGCTGTCAGTTGACTCAGCGTTCGCAAGGAAAGCGCCAATTCTTTCCACACAAATTCGTGTGCTCCGTTTCATCTTGACACACCGTGTGTCATCCTATCTGCCTCTGTTCCGTGTTCATCTGGGCTCAAGTAGGAGGCCGAGCAGGGCCGTACGCCGCGACCATGCTGACAATGGGGTACTTCTACCCAAGGACGGACCTTGTAACGCGTACCGACACCCCCGCTACACCACTGATTCAAGGTGAGCACTGGAATTCTGTTGTCCGGAAACGGCATTCCCGCTGCTTTACCAACCCGCTCCTCTGCCTACCACCAGCAGCCTTCTACACGATTACGAAAAAGCTCTATTGCTTCCTGATACAAGGAGTTTGACAGCATACTAGCATCAAATTGTCCAGCTAATTGCCGCCATTTTCAGCTTAATTATGCTTGTTAAGTCGTGTGCACCCATTCTGGACCTTCAGGAATAGAAATCATAGCGTCGTCGACTCGATAGTTCTTTTTTCCTGACGTCAGCACTCATTTCGCTCGTCAGCTGTATTGAAGGAATAAATGCCGCTACGTCAAGCTTCGCTCTAGCTTTTCTTACTTTCCTTGATTACATGCTCGTGAGATTCAGCAGGTTCTCACATAATGGCTAGCGCCGGGCAAGCACAATCAGCGTCGCCGCCGGATCCCCGGTTCACGATTGACGACGTCGCAGAGACTCACGACGATCTCCACGACGACGTTGGCAATGTCGCACACGAAGTGGTCATTGTCGCGAACGGATTCCGATCCAGCGATTCGTCGTGGCCGCAGGCGAAGTCGTCGTCTTCACCACTCTCCACCACCGTCATCCGCGCAGGGAAGTTGGAATCGCAAGACGATCTCGACGCTAACAACGAGTTCGACAATAGAGAGGACGGCTTGGAGGATCGGGAGCCTATGCTCAAATCACCAGCAGGAGCAGCATCCGGAAAGCTTAAACCGTTCAGCTTGGAAACGCCAGCACACGGCGGTGGAGGGGGAGGCCACCACGGCGCAGGCGGCGGCCATGGATTCGCAGGAGCTACAGTGTCAAGCGGGATTTTTAATCTCTCCACGTCGATTATCGGAGCAGGCATTATGGGTCTACCAGCCACTCTCAACGTGCTCGGCTTGCCGCTCGGAGTGCTGCTGCTTGTAGCGATGGGCCTTCTAACGGAGCTGTCGATCGAGGTGCTGGTGAACGCGTCGGCGGTGCGGCGAATCTGGACGTACAGCGGGCTGGTGGTGGAGGACTGCGGGCAGCGGTCGCGCCTCGTGCTGGATCTGGCCGTGCTGGTGAACAACGTGGGCATGTGCACCGTGTACCTCATCATCGTTGGTGCGTGTTAGTGTGTCAGTGTGTCGGTGTGTTGGTGCGTTGATGCGCCGGCATTGCTTTGTTGGTTTGTTGGTGCGTTGGTGTGCTATTGTGTGTGTCCGTGGACCAGGGCGGCAATTTGGACAATGAAAGAACTGTATTGGAAAGAAGTGGTGACGGGGGCTGACTGGGGTGAGTAAGGCTGATGAGCTTGCTGCGCGAAACAGGGTTCTGTCCAGGATCGCTGGTGGGAACAAATCAGAATTCGATTCTGGACGCTCCCCTCCTCCCCCCCAACCCCACACCCCCATCACCTGCTTGTCCCTCGTCTCCAGCTGACGTTGTGGCGGGCACATCATCACAGCATGCACCATCATCCCCAGTGGAGGCCATGCGGGAGGCATCACTGCACGAGGGGCTGCTGGCGGAGTGGGGGCTGGTGGCGGGTGCATGGTGGCCCATGCGTCCCATCGTCATCATCTCCACCATGCTGCTCGTGCTCGCCCCGCTTGTGGCGCTTAAGCATGTCGGTGAGTGGAATGAGAGGTGAATGTGAGTTGACTCAAGAGTCCCATTGTCGTGGTGGCCCATGTCCCATTGTCATCATTTCAACCATGTTGCTCGTGCTCGCCCCACTCGTGGCGCTCAAACACGTTGGTGAGTGGAGTGGTACAAGCCTACAAGGAACGAGAGGGTGGCGGAGGGAGCGCAAGCGTGCAGTGCAGGTGCTGTGTTGGTAAGCAAGCAGCAAGATTGGTGTGCTTGTGTGTGGTGTCATCTGGAATCGACCGAGTGAGAGGGAAGTGGTAGGGAGTGTGGGTGAGTGATCACCACCACTTAAACACAAGGGCTGCAGACCACCTGACGAGAGACCAAGTCAAGTGGGGGCGAGAAAAGGAAGCAGGCATTGTGGCAAGACACGGTCAGAAAAGGTGAACTGGTGGATTCCTCCCCTTGCCTCGTTCCCTCCCGTACTCCTGTGCATCCCTACCACGCCCATCCCACATGCCACCAACAATTTCTTTTAAACCCGAAACCTGGTCCTTTCCTTCTCCTCCTCCCCCTTTCCCCACCCCTCTTCCTCGCTCCCCCTCTCCTTCCCTCCTCCCCCCTTTTTCCCCTCCCCCCAGACTCCCTGCACTACACATCCGCACTGTCCATAGCCCTAGCGGTGGTGTTTGTGGTGATCACAGTGGTCGTGGCAGCAGTGCAGTGGCTGCAGGGACGCATCCACTCGCCCCTTCTCATTCCCCACCCTTCTTTCCCCCCTCCCCCCACCCCCTCCTTCACCGCCCCCAGACTCCCTGCACTACACGTCAGCACTGTCCATAGCCCTGGCAGTGGTGTTTGTGGTGATCACAGTGGTCGTGGCGGCAGTGCAGTGGGTGCAGGGGCGCATCCAGCCTCCGCGCATGCTGCCCGCGTGCTCCTCGCTCAAGGACCTCTCGGGCCTCTTCTCCGTCATGCCGGTGCGTGCGTGCACGTGGGGGGGTGTGAGGGATTGCGAGGGAGTGTTGGAAAGTGTGGGGGAGTGTTGGGGAGAGTGGGAGTGTGGGGGAATGGGGCGAACAAAGGCATGGATAGGAGGGCTTGGTTAATGTCCCTAGGTGAAGAAGTGTGTTCCTTCTTTGAAAATTCCTTGGGGTTCTTATGAGCCATTCTGGTGTGTTCATGGGTAACATGGTGCTGGGTGCTGTGGGTACAGACATGGGCTAGTGGCATGGCATGGTGTGTAAACCGTCATAAACCGTCAGGTTAAAGTCAAAGTGGGTGGGGTAAGAGAGGGTTGGGGAAGGTCCGATGGACAGGCATGGTGTGTGTGGGAAGTGGATGGGTGGTTTGCAGGCCAACAAGGTGCTAGTAGAGGTTGACTGTTTATGCAGGTCACAGTTCCTTCTCTCCTTTTCCACCGATTCTTTCCCTCGTGCCTCCTTCCCCTTCCACCACCCTGTCGCACCCCCCTCTCCTCCCCCCATTCCTCGTTCTCCCCCTCGCTACCACCTCTCCTTTCTCCCTCCTCCCCCTCTCGCTTTCTCTCTCTCTCCTCTTATTGTGCACGAGGTTAATCTGAATGCTCATTGATACCATAGCCTTGAAACCCCCCCATCTCCACCGTACTTTCTCCTCATCAGCCTCCTGTGCGTGCCTCCTGCTTTTCCCCTGCAGGTCATGGCAACAGCATACGCGTGCCACTACAATGGTAAGCATGCATGCCTTCATAGCTCCATCATCAACACCCCATCCTCTCCCAGGTTGCCTTGCTTGCATGTCATGTCATGTCATGTCATGTCATGTCATGTCATGTCATGTCATCTCATGTCATGTCATGTCAACACATAGGAGTTGCCTCCCATTTCCTTCCAGCCCGTCCCACTTTGCCTGCCGTTTTAGCACCATCGTTATCAAGGATTTGACATCCTTTCCTGTCCACTCCAAGCCATATGCTCCACTCCACTCTGCATTCCTCCCATTCTCTCCTGCCAGGGCCCATCCACTCGTTGCTCCTCTCCCTTTTCCTCCCTCTCCTCGCCCCTTCCCTCCACCCCATTCTCATTCCTCACCATACCCCTCCCCCCCCTCCAGTGCACTCCATCTTCGTGGAGCTAAAGGACCGCACAGCAGCAACCATGCTGCGCGTCACGCGCTCCTCGCTACTCCTCTGCACCACAGTCTACGTCCTCACATCTGTCTCCGCCTTCCTCCTCTTCGGCGCCAGCACAGCCTCAGACGTGCTCATCAACTTCGACCGGGACCTCGGCCTGCCTCTCTCCTCTCTCATCAACGACACAGTCCGAGTCACCTACGTCCTCCATATAGTCTTTGTCTTTCCCGTGATCTTCTACTCGCTGAGAATAATCGCCGACGATTTGATTTTCCCCGGAGCGGAAAAGCCGTTGCTGGAGGATGATAGGAGGTTTGCGGTGGTGACGGTGGGGGGGATGGTGCTGGTGGGGGTGGGGGCGGTTATGGTGCCGAATATTGGCCTGGCATTTGATATCACGGGGGCTACTGCAACCATGCTGCTCGCCTTTGTCTTCCCGGCGCTGCTAACTCTCAAGTATGGCCGTTTGCCATTTGTCCTGCCATCTCACTGCCATTGCCTTTGCCATTGCATAATTCCATTGCTCCTTCTTTGCCATGTCACTACCCCATCACTCCTCTCCATCACACCGTCCCCATCACCCTCCCATCACCCTTCCATCACCCTCCCATCACCCTCCCATCACCCTCCCATCACCCTCCCATCACTCTACCTGGCCATTGTCAATCATCTCATGATCCTACTATACCTTGCACGGTACCCCACTCAAACCTTCATCGATATGCCTGCCTGCCTCCCTCCCTTTGCTGGTGCTGATTCTGAACTGAGCCAATCCTCACCATGTGCAATTAATCCACTCCAATCCCCATGCTCCCCCCCTCATCCACTGCTCGCAGGGACCGCCTTGGGCTGTTTGCATCATGGCACAGGGCAGTGGCACACTTCCTTCTTGTATTTTCTGCACTCGTCAGCATTACAGGCCTCTCCAGTGGCCTTTACCATGCATTTGTGTAGTCTTTATGTTATGTTATGTGCAGAGCTGTTGGTCGCGGCTGCTGCTGTCCCGTGGTCATGGCTGCTTGCAAGAGCAGCATGTTTTCTTACATGTTTTCCAGTGATGAAGCAGATGGGAATCTGTGAAAAAAGAAAGTGAAATGTGATCCCGAAGTCCCTAGGGTCGTAACATAAGATCATAAAAGAAATGTCACTGCTTAAACAATTTCGGGATTCAGGTTATAACAATTGGCATGTAGTACACCAGTTTTGTGATCTCTGGAGGACCACCAACCGCAAATGATCTTGTACAGTAAAGTACAAGTCACTTGCGGCTCCCGTACGAGAAGTCTTCAGGTGGGAATGGCACCTGGTGGATGAGGTGTCAAACAATATACTTGTGTTATTGCTGTGTAGGCTACAGTGGGTTAGCCTTTAGGGAGTACACAATTCTAGGGTTTCGTATTTGTACTCCCATTTTCTCATAGTTCACACACTTCTCTCATTCTGACATGGTATTACGAGCCTAGGTTAGGAACCTAGGACCGTTAGTTCCTAAGGGCCCACCGTTCCGCTCGAAGCGCCCTCGTGCGCCGTCCCTTACTTTCGCCCTCGTGCGCCTCGTTCCTAGTGCGCCCTCGCGCGCCCAGTCCTACCTCTTACGCTGCCTGTGCGCAGCCGCTAGCCGCCCGCGCGCGCGGCCCGTTTTTCGAGCGCATAGCCCGCCAGCCGCTCGCGCACGGCTCTTTTCTCGTGCGCGCAACCCGCTAGCCGCCCGCGCCGTCGTCCCCGCTCACGCGCCGCCCGCCCTGGCCTCGCGTGGCCTCTAGCGCAGCCCATGAGCTGCTCGTCGACCGCCGTGCGCCGCCGCCTCGTGCGCTTAGGCCGCCGCCCGCGCTAGCCCGCCGCCCGCCGTAAGCCGCCCGCGCGTAGGCCGCCGCCTCGCACAACAACAGACCGCGCGCCGGCCCACCCTCCCTGACTGAGCCGCGCCGCGCCGTCCTGCCCGGGCCGCGCCGTCCTGCCCGAGCCGCGCCGCCCTACTGTGCCTCACCTGCAGCACCTGCTGCTTCTGTTACTGCTACTGCTACTACTGCTACTGCTGCTCCTGTTCCTACTGCTGCTACTGCCACTATGGCCAGTCCTACCGTTCTTACCTTTGACGCTGAGGGCCGTCCGATTAAGTTCGATGTTTGGCTCGATGACCTTCACCTCTACCTTCAGATCACCGCCAAGGACGATATTTCCCTTTATGACCACACGTCCGGCGCCGCTCCCGCACCTGCTGCTGATGCTGATAGCACTTTGCGCTCACAGTGGCAGACCCGTGACGCTCATGCTCGCCTAGCCGTTCGCAGCCACCTGCCGTTAGATGAGCGCGAGCACTTTGGCCAGCATAAGACCGCTAAAGAGCTGTACGACGCAGTAGTCGCGCGCTACTCCTCCCCTGCCACTGCTGCTATAGGCCGTCTCTCACTGCCCTACCTCTTTCCCGACCTGTCCGCCTTTGCCACTGTAGCTGACCTCATCACCCACCTCCGTACCAGTGACCTCCGCTACCGTGCCGCGCTCCCCCCCGATTTCCTCGCCAAGAACCCCCCCCCCCGATGTACCTCACACTGTACCACCTTGTCACCCGCCTCCCTGACTCCCTTCGCACTGTCAGGGACCAGTTTCTCGCTCTCTCCCCCACTGACCTCACTGTCGACCTCCTCGAGAAGGAACTCCTAGCAGCTGAGAAGAGTATTGTAGCTGTAGGTGCCTCTCGTGGTGACCCCCGCACCCCCTTCTTTGAGGGGTGCTCCCCCTCCCCCCTCCTCCCCTCCATTGCATCTGCTGCTGCTGTCGACTACCTCGGAGCTGAGGGAGTCGGGGCTGCGTCTACCCCTAGTGGGAGGCGCAAGGGCGACCCGCAGGAGCAAGGGGGGCAGGGGTGGTGGAGGTGGAGGCGGGGGCGGCGGTGGTGGAGGGGGTGGGGGGGGGGGGGCGGGGGTGGTGGCGGAAGTGGGAGTGGCGCGGGTGGTGGGGGGGTCAGTGGCGGCACAGGGGGTGGTGGCGGCGGCGGCGGTGGTGGGGGTGGTGGGGGAGGTGGTGGCGGCGGCGGCGGTGGTGGGGGTGGTGGGGGAGGTGGTGGCGGTAGTGGCGGTGGTGGAGCGGGTGGCGGGCGCGGTGGGGCGGTGCAGCGTGGGGGTTTCGGAGGTGGCCAGAGGCAGCAGCAGCAGCGTCCCGGCGAGACTCCCTCGCCCCAGCAGCTCCGTGAGTGGTACTCTCAGCGTGGGGGGTCCGGGGGTGGGGGTACCTGCACGTACGTCATTCGCACAGGTGACCGCGCTGGCCAGACTTGTGGGAGGTTCCACCCGGCACAGCGCTGCTTCTCTCGCCTCGACGACGCCTGGCGCGAGCAGTTCCCTGACGCCTCTGAGCTGCCTCGCTGGGCTGATCTGCTTAGGAAGGGGATTGATGTCTTTGCTCTTGATTATGATGCTATCCTTGCTGCCATGTATGCATTGACTATTAGTGCTGAGGGTGACTGTTACCTGAGTGTGCCGCCCGACCCAGGTATTGGTACTGGTAAGGCTGCTGCGCTAGGTGCTCGTGCGTCTGCGTCCGCTAGTACAGGGTCTGCTGCGGCACTGCACACTTTCACACTGGACTCAGGTGCTTCCCGCTGTTTCTTTCGTGACCGCACTGTCCTTGAGCCGCTAGCTCGGCCTGTTGCTGTCTCCCTTGCTGACCCCTCTGGGGGCCCGGTCCTTGCGACCTCCTCCACTGTTCTCCCTTGTCCTGCGGCCCCGTCTGGCACTCTGTCGGGTCTCTACCTCCCCTCGTTCTCTACGAACTTGGTGGCGGGCTCTGCTCTCCAGGACGGGGGTGTTCACCAGTTCACCCCTGCCTATGAGCGGGTGACCCATTGTACGTGTGCTCGGACGGGTCGCCACCTGGCTACCTTCACTCGGCAGCCGGGGTCCGACCTGTACACACTGACCACTGAGTCCCCTCAGGTAGCTGCGTCTGCGTCTGCGTCAGGTCAGCTGTCGGCTCCCTGCTCGTATCGCTCCCTGTCACACCAGACCGTCCTCTAGCACCACCGCCTTGGTCACCCCTCCGTGCAGCGCCTTCGTGGCATGCATTCTCGGTACCTTGTCTCTGGTCTTCCCCGAGTTCTCCCTCCCCTCCCTCCCTCGCCTGCTCCTCCCTGTCTTCCCTCTGTCGATGGGCGGCAGCGCGCCACCCCTCACTCCTCCTCGTTCCCTCCCACAGAGGCTCCCCTGCAGACTCTTCACCTGGACGAGTGGGGCCCTGCCCGCGTCCGGGGACAAGGCCATGAGCGGTACTTCCTGCTGGTCGTCGACGACTACACGCGCTACACCACGGTCTTCCCCTTGCGCACCAAGGGTGAGGTCCCTGATGTTTTGATCCCTTGGATCCGCGCCGCTCGTCTCCAGCTCCGCCAGCGGTTCCAGTCGGACTTTCCCGTCCTGCGTCTGCACTCTGACAGGGGTGGTGAGTTTTCCTCCGCCCTCCTGGCCGCCTACTGTGCGGAGCACGGCATCCGCCAGACTTTCACTCTTCCGGACTCCTCACAGCAGAATGGGGTTGCTGAGCGCCGCATTGGTTTAGTCATGGAGGTCGCTCGTACCTCCTTGATCCATGCGGCTGCCCCCCATTTCCTGTGGCCGTTTGCAGTGCGGTACGCTGCGCATCAGCTCAACCTTTGGCCCCGTGTCTCTGCTCCGGAGACCTCGCCCACACTGCGTTGGACGGGGGAGGTTGGCGATGCGTCGGTGTTCCGTGTCTGGGGATGTCGAGCCCTTGTTCGCGATACGTCCGCGGACAAGCTCTCCTCCCGCGCTGTTCCCTGTGTCTTCCTTGGTTTTGTCCCTGACGCGCCTGGCTGGCAGTTTTACCACCCCACCTCGCGCCGTGTCTTTGCCTCTCAGGACGTCACTTTTGACGAGTCGGTACCCTTTTATTATCTGTTCCCCTACGGCACTGCGCCGCTTCCCCCCCCGTCGCTCTTCCTCACCCCAGGTGCCCCTTCGGTAGACCCCCTTCCTCCCCAGGGTCCTGCTCCCTCAGGTGTTTCCCAGGTAGACCCGGTCGAGCCTGTCGAGGTAGCTGTTGACTCTGGTCCTGCGAGGGGTGCTGCGACTGGGGGTGCTGAGCCTGGGATTACTGAGCCTGGGGGTGCTGAGCCTGGGGGTGCTACGCCTGGGGGTGCTGAGTCTGGGGGTGCTGAGCCTGGGGGTGCTGCGTCTGAGGGTGCTGAGCCTGGGGGTGCTGAGCCTGGGGGTGCTGAGCCTGGAGGGCCTGGTACTGGTGGCGCTGGAGCTGGAGGTTCTGGAGCTGCTGGAGCTACCGCTGGTGCTGGAGGTTCTAGAGCTGCTACGGGTGCTGACGCTGCGGGTTCTGAGTCTGCTGGTGTGCAGTCTCCTTGGAGTAGCCGCCTTCGTACGCGTGTGCCTCTCACCTCCCAGCAGCTGCGCGACTGGTACGGTCGCCGTCAGCGCAGCGCTTCTGTCGCTCGGGACCCTGCGCCTGTCGTCGCTGGAGCTGAGAGTGGTGCTGGTTTGTTGTCTCCTGGGGGTGCCCACGTCGCTGGTCCCGGAGGTGCTCGTACCGCTGGTACTCGAGCTGCTGGGGCTGGTGGTGCTGTGTCTGAGGGTGCTCCCACTGGGGACACTGCGACTGGGGGTACTGCTGGTGGAGACAGTCCAGGAGGAGCTGCCGCTGGGGGTGGTGGGGCTGCTGTAGGTGCTGGAGCTGCTGGTGCTGGCGGCACTACACAGTCGCGCCTGTTCTTCGCTCCGCCGTCTCCGTCGTCTCTGCCGCCGCATGCCTCTGTTCTTCGCCAGGTTCTTAGTCTTCCGTCTTCTACCGGTCTTCCCCTCCTGCCTGACTCACCGCTTCCTGCTCCTTCTCCTTACACTGAGCAGTCCGGCGGTCTTACTGAGCGTCGTGAGCCTGCGTCACGTCCTGTCTCACCAGTTCGTTCTGGTCGCACCGTTCGTCGTGTCCCGCGTTCGAGGTCGCCGACTGTCCCCGGCGCGCACCTTGTCGTCCGTCGTCCTTCCTCTGTTCCACAGTCTGTTCCTCTGCCGTCCCCTCCTGCGTCGTCTTTGCCTGACGTTCCGGACCCTGAGTCCGACCGGTTTCGTGCTGAGCACCCTACTGTCACGCGTCTGCTCGCCACTGTTGTCACTGACCCGTCGTTTGAGTCTGCTGCTGCGTCTGCCTTAGTCGCTGAGCTTGTTGACTTTGCTGCTGCCTGTCGTCTAGACTACGCTGCTAGCCTTGTTGCTAAGTCTGAGTCTGTCTGTCCTCCGTCCGTCGGGGGTGAGTGTGCTCTTGGCACGGACGTCCTTGAGGACAGGCACGAGGACCTTGAGTGTCTTGCAGCCGCTGCGCCCCATCTCGTGGCCATGCTGCTTGCCCCTGAGGGAGACCCGGATGCTATAGACATCCCTACCCCGCGATCCTACGCTGAGGCGATCGCGGGTCCCTACTCCTCTCAGTGGCAGGCAGCCATGGACGCAGAGATGGCATCCTGGAAGTCCACTGGCACTTACGTCGACGATGTTCCCCCTCCTGGGGCGAACATCGTCAGTGGCATGTGGATTTTCAGGGTGAAGCGGCCGCCGGGTTCTCCGCCTGTCTTCAAGGCTCGTTACGTTGCTTGAGGCTTCAGTCAGCGAGAGGGAGTCGACTTCTTCCAGACCTTCTCCCCCACCCCGAAGATGACCACTTTTCGGGTGCTGCTACACATAGCCGCTCAGCGTGACTACGAGCTTCACTCTCTTGACTTCAGCACAGCTTTCTTGCAGGGCAGCCTGCACGAGGAGATCTGGCTGCGCCGCCCTCCTGGCTTCACTGGGTCGTTTCCTCCTGGTACCCAGTGGAGCCTCCGGCGGCCGGTCTACGGTCTCCGCCAGGCGCCACGCGAGTGGCACGACACACTGAGGACTACACTTGCGGCTCTTGGGTTCGCGCCTTCTACTGCTGACCCGTCGTTGTTTCTGCGCACCGACACTTCGCTGCCGCCGTTCTACATCCTCGTGTACGTCGACGACTTGGTCTTTGCCACTGCTGACACTGAGGCTCTCGCCCACGTGAAGTCCGAACTGCAGAAGAGACACACGTGCACAGACCTGGGTGAACTGCGCAGCTACCTTGGCTTGCAGATCACCCGGGACAGAGCACGCCGCACCATCACCTTGACTCAGTCACACATGGTGCAGCAGGTCCTTCAGCGCTTCGGCTTCACCTGGTCCTCAGCACAGGCCACTCCTCTGGCCATAGGTCACTCGCTCTCAGCTCTGCCTTCGGATGAGTCCGTAGAGCCGAGTGGTCCTTACCCAGAGCTAGTTGGTTGCCTCATGTACCTGATGACTTGCACTCGTCCTGACTTAGCGTACCCTCTTGGCCTTCTGGCCCGCTACGTGGCTCCTGGTAGGCACCGAAAGGTGCACTGGGATGCTGCAAAGAGGGTATTGCGCTACTTGTGCAGTACATCGGGCATGGGGCTCGTGCTTGGAGGAGGGAGCCCAGTTGTTCTCACTGGGCACTCAGATGCTTCTTGGGTTGACGACCAGGCTACTCAGCGGTCGTCACAGGGTTACACCTTCAGTCTTGGCTCTGGCTCAGTTTCTTGGCGTTCTACACGCTCGTCTTCTGTTCTCAACTCCAGTTGTGAGGCTGAGATCTACGCCATAGCCATGGCTGCTCAGGAGTTACGCTGGCTCACCTACCTGCTGACCGACCTGGGAGAGCGGCCTCGTTCTCCTCCAGTGCTGTACGTCGACAACAAGGCCGCCATTGCCTTGTGCGAGGAGCACAGACTGGAGCACAGAACGAAGCACATCGCTCTGCGGTACTTCCTGGCTCAAGAGTTGCAGCAGCGTGGTCAGCTTCGTCTGCGTTACGTGGCCACTCAGGCCAACACTGCTGATATATTCACCAAGGCACTTCTGCCTAGTGATCATCAGCGTTTCTGCACTTTGTTAGGGCTTGTGCCCACTTTTCCTCACTTGCTGTAGACTTTGCGTGTACTGTGATCTATATATATATATATGTATATATATATATATATATATACCTGCATGCTTGCTAGATCTAGATCATTGTGATGCTTGTGTTGCATATATGCCTCTGCATGTGAACTGGCCTTGTGGCTCTTTGCTTGTGCTCAGAGTGTGTGGTGACGTTGTGATCCACCCTGGGCTTGCTTGCCTTTCTTGACTGGTCTTGTGACCCCTTGGTCTCCCCCACTTTGCCTATGGGGGTGTGTCAAACAATATACTTGTGTTGTTGTTGTGTAGGCTACAGTGGGTTAGCCTTTAGGGGGTACACAATTCTAGGGTTTTGTATTTGTACTCCCATCTTCTCATAGTTCACACACTTCTCTCATTCTGACATGAGGTGCTTCTGTAAAAACCTACTACACATGATGCCTGATTGAGCCCCTCCCGGTTGCCTTGTGAAGCGGGCGTATAAGCTGTATCGTGCATTTCGCATACGTTTCGTCAAATCGCAGCCAACTAAAAAGGACTCGCAGGTGCTAATATTAAGGATCTGTAACCTTATCCGTTGACATTTTGACTTCAGTCTCTTCAGTTTGACTTCGCTCTGTTCGTTACTATTGGTTTAGAGCGTTTTCCTACGGACCCCTATCAGGCTAACCCATTGTCAGACTTGGCTCAAACACCAAAATTTCGGATTAAACTTGTTTCGTATTACCGTAGTCTTTTTGCTCGTTTCTGAAGTGTGTGACAATGCGTTGGGTGACGTGGCACTGTGCAACACTCCCGAAAGGCCGCAAAGGAACAAAGTTTCCCGAGTTCAGACAAATTCCAGGCAGTTGAAACGTGTGTTTGGCGGAAATTTCTTTGTATTCTTCATACCGGACAAAACAACACATGTGATAAAATTCGCGCGCTTGCCTGACCATTGCTCACTGAAACAGCACGTGTGAAAGATTTCGTGCGATCGCCTGACAAGGCTCGCTGAAACAGCATGTGTCAAATATTTCGCGCGTCCAATTCATAGAACAACAATGTAATTTTTCAAGTCTGAAAAACGGCGTTTACCGTATAACAAAATCGCTCGCATGGACCAGTCTGACAAGGGGTTACATGATAGGGGTCCGTAGGAACACGCTCTTATATCTGGCCACGCGACGCGCTTGTAACGTGGGTGCAACATGCTGGGACCTCGGGTGCAGCGTTTCCATCCGGTGCAGAGCAAATTCGCGTGCATGGGGTGGGCATCAACTGTACCTGTATAGCGCAACTGTACGGTGCGCGGTGTTGAGGTTTGCTTGCAGTGTGTACCGTATCTCAAGTTGTGAACATGTTTGGGTGGAACATGGATGAAACTTGGGTGTACCTGCCTGCCCCACAATAAAGGCAAGCCGCTTTTTTGCTCCGCATCACCGAGTTCCTTGGTGTACGAGGGGAAGTGCGAGGAGACTGAGGACGCGGTAAAAGTGCAAAAATCGAAGGATCGTCTGTAAATATCGAGCCCCACAATCGAGTGGGCAGATCGATTGGTGAAGCGTGACGACCGCGAAGTTGTAACGATCGCACCTAGAGAATTAACAGATCTCCCGCAATTTATGATCAGTCGCATTCACACTATACAGATAAATTGGCCAAAAAAGTACTGTAGCATGGTTACAGCGTAGTGGGTAACCAATCCGCACATCGATCGCGACTAACGATCGATTGTCTACTTTTACTGCGTCCTGAGGGCGCGTCCCCTCCCTAGATCGATCGCGAGATCGTCGTGAAAAACCGATCGGGCATACCAATCGCAGGATTGGGGCGCGATTGGTCGGAGGTAACAATCGCGGGATCGATTTCGAGCCCAGGATGACAGGATCGAGATTACGAAGGGAAAAAACACCCTATATAAGCCAAGATCGGTGTGACCACAAAGGCCATCGAACATCATCAGAGGAAGTGACAGGATCGTGGGGCACAAGTTACTGTACCTTCGCGAGCCACTTCGAAATTTGGTTACCCTGTCGACTGCGATGCTACAGCGGCTTTGTAGCTGTCCCTCAATCGATCGAGAGGGAGCAAAACCAGAAGGCGCTGAGGAGAAATTGGATTGTTGTAACGGACACAGCACGGTGCTGAGCTCAAAACGGTTTGCTTTCATCGATACGGTACTTGGCGAAGTGAGGGTTCGTTCCGTCTTCTGGTCAGACCTCAGGTCACTCTTCTAAGCCAGGCCACTCTTGGTCCTGGCTGGGCCTCCATGCTTTGCCCAAGTAACTCATCCACCACGTCTTCTCCCCACTCTGGCTTGAACCCAGAAATTACCCAGAGAGGCTTTCTTTCCCATTCGTCCTTCTCACGAGTGCGCGGATGCTTCGCATGCCGCCATATGATGGCGCGACCACCCTCTCACACTGTGAGCTTTCCCCGGAGCTCGCCCTCCAACGGTTACTACTACCCGCTGGCGGCAGCGCCAGCCTTCCGTGCTGTCGTCGCTCTCCTAGCATTGGTCCTCGTTCTACTACCACTGCCGCAGTCGGTCCTCGCCGCCGCCGGAGCTGCCTCTCACAACCATTCCGCGGCCTCGCCGGGAATCACCGCCGCGATGAACTGGCTGGCGCATCGCCCGCGGCGCGAATTGTCGCTTGGCCCATCGCATGGGTCGCATGGGTCGCGCGGGGCGACAGAGCGTCGCATGAGCCTCCTCGAGAGGCCCGCATCGTCGCGCTCTCTAACATTGCTCGCTGACAGTCAGCGTAAGCTCCAACCACACGCGTTTTACCCCAATCACTAGCCTGTGGGCTATGTTAATGGGTTTCCGCTGCACCAAATAAAACAGTAGTTTTGACCCAGTGGGTAGGTGTTATACTGGAATCAGAGCCATGGTTCAAATCCTCGCTGCTCCACATTGTCCGCGTTATACTGGAATCAGAGTCAGGGTTCGAATCCTGGCTGGTCCACTTTATCCGCCTGTGGCGAGAACTTGAATGTGGTTACCAGATTGAACCCAGCGAACGATCCTCCGCTGGCCTGGTCCACCAGCGAAGTTGCTGCCGCCTTCTCAGCAAAATCTAGGTCCCCGTGGGGGCCGACTCCCTGAAGTTCGCCGACGAGGATGTTGGCGCCAGGGGGGGGGACGAGTGTAGTGTAACGTCTGTGGGCTGTGTTAATGGGCATTCCGCTGCGCCAAATAACGCCCTCGTTTTGACCCCATGGGTAGCGAGGTGTTATATCTTTGGCCGGCCCGCGTCTTCATCACTTCCCACCCGTTTGGCCGTGCCTACTCCGTCGCACACGCTGCGCTCGAGAATCTAATCTGTCGCCGCGCGTAAGCTGCTCAGTCACGTTGCGTCCGTCACCGAGGGCTATTACTCTGCTGGCATGTGCTCACGTATGTTCGCCTCGCCGTGTGTTTTTGCCTTGCCACACCCCTCCTCGCCTGTGGTGCTGGTTGCCGGGCGGTGGGAGGGGGGGGGGCGCGGGCACGCTGTCTGGTGCAGTGCGTGCGCTGGTGGCGCTGAACGCCGCGTGGCAGCTATGGCCGTCCAACTCCAACCGCTCACGCCGCTGCGACCAGTGGGAGTACATCCAGTGCAACGCACAGGGCTTCATCACTGCTGTGTACGTCATTCCTTAATATGTCATTCCTTGATCAAGGAATGATCCGCTCTGCTCTGCTCTGCTCTGTGCTGGTGTGGTGTGGGACAGCAAGCGAGCACTGTGGGGGGAAGACAGCATTTGCGGGCGCTGCAGTGTGGACGCTGCTTGTGCCTTGTTGCTCCAGAAGTTTTAGCGGTAGTGCAAGGCATTAGGGCGGGTGTGGTCAGAGATGCAATATGCAGAGCTGTGTTGCAATGCTGTGCCGCATTCGTGATCTCTATTGCCATTGCCTCCACAAAGTGCATATGTCTGTGTGCGTGCGTGTGTGTGTGTGTGTGTGTGTGTGTGTGTGTGTGTGTGTGTGTGTGTGTGTTGTGTGTGCGCGCGCGCGCGCATGTGTGAGTGTCTGTGTGTGTGTGTGTGTGTGTGTGCATGTGTGTGTGTGCATGTGTGTGTGTGTGAGTGTGTGTGTGTGTGTGTGTGTGTGCGTGTGCGTGTGTGCATGTGTGCGTGCGTGCGCGCGCGTGTGTGCGCGCGCGCGTGCATGTCTGTGTGTGCGTGTGCGTGTGTGTGAGTGTGCAACCACGGGCACATACATTTCTGTGTTTCTTAAACTCAACACCTTTTCCTGTGCAGCGTTCTGCCTGAGATGGGGATCGACGCGACCATGCCTCTCAATGTCTTCTCCACCATGCCTTACCTCAGACGCCTGTAAGTCCGTTGCTTCCCTACTGCCGCCCAACCCCCCCCCCCCCCCTCCTGTTACGATTCTCCCATCCCCTCCTCTAACACTCTTATTTTACTCCTTTCAGAGACTCTCCTTAATTTCCCCCAACCAGGACGTTACTTGGCGTTATTGAGGATGCTTCTAGAAGCCACATTGCCTTCCAACCCAAGCTCCCCTGTGCTCGCCCATTTCGCTTCATCGCCGTTCCTCTTTCGCTGCTGTTGCTGCCGTCTGCGTCTTTTCTTTACATGCCCATCCATCTAACGTCCCCCATGCCCCCTATGTGCACAAAACACTGTTCGTACGTCGCAGGTTCTGCCTCGGTGAACACACATCAAACTTCCCAAGCTTGCTCAGCCAGCCACCTCATCTCAACCCTACCCTTCACTCCTAACAAAGCCCCCTTTCTCGCCATCTCAAGCTCTCCTCTTCTTCCCTCTCAATCCCCGCTCGCCCACCCCCCATCCCCATCCCCCTTTCCCCTATCCCGCCCCTTCTAATCCCCCTCCTCTTCTGCTTGTCAGTGTGCTAGGAGATAATTACGATCTCAAAGGGCCCATCAGTGACCTCGCTCTGCCCCAATCCCTGCGCATGCTGTGAGTGCTACTCGCCCTGCCACTGCACCCTCTACTTTCATTTCCTTCCCATGTCAAGTATCTCCCCCTATGCACTGATAAGGCCACGGCCAGTCCAGGTAGAGGGCGGGTGGGTTGGGTGAAATAGGAGAGACCGTGGAGCTGAAGCCTGGAAGAGAAAAGATGGGTCAATTTTTTTGGTGCTTCAAATATAGACAGTGGAGATAGAGCCTGGAAGAGGGTCTTGCCATGGCTAAGAGGGGGTTTGTGCCCCCTCTTAGCCATACCTGTGTACACGCAAGGATTGGAATGGAAAGCTGTGGTGCACCGGTCAGTGCAATTGATAGGACGGGATGCGTGCGAGTATCGCATGCAGCATGGGATATATGATGGCATGGTGGTGTGTGATGTGGTCGATTGACACGGTGGCATCTGTGAAATGGTTACATGGGCTCACCTGTCTCACTCAGGGTCCAGCCAGCCTTCGTCTTCCTTCCCAGCTGCCCAGCACTTTGACGCACTGCACTGTGACTGCTGATTTCACTGATGATTGAACGATGATGATACAACAGCGGTAGTACTGTGCTGCGTTTTGTCAATGTGATGCTACACTAATTTTTGTGCAAGGCTACGCACAAATAAACAGCTTATAACTTGCTTATCTAAAAAACCAGTCCTTCCTGTCTCCACCCACACAAACTGAGTTTCCACTTCCTCCTTTTCATTCCCACCCATCCGGTTTTCGTTCTCCTTCCCCATGTGATTGCGGGCAGGGACTTGTCTTATACAGCTGTGAATGGCTCGCTACCATCCTCCATCCTATCACTCTTAGCTCTCGCACACCTGTGAGCGTGACTCATCCTACAGACAGGGCACATGTGGATGATCCATGCATGTCTGGTTCGCTACCATCCTCCATCCTATCACTCTCAGCTCTCGCACACCTGTGAGCCTGACTCATCCTACAGACAGGGCACATGTGGATGATACATGCATGTCTGGTTCGCTACCATCCTCCATCCTATCACTCTCAGCTCTCGCACACCTGTGAGCGTGACTCATCCTACAGACAGGGCACATGTGGATGATACATGCACGTCTGGTTCGCTACCATCCTCCATCCTATCACTCTCAGCTCTCGCACACCTGTGAGCCTGACTCATCCTACAGACAGGGCACATGTGGATGATACATGCATGTCTGGTTCGCTACCATCCTCCATCCTACCACTCTCAGCTCTCGCACACCTGTGAGCGTGACTCATCCTTCAAGGCACATGTGGTGTGGATTTCCATAAGAGCACACCCTTCGCCCACCTTCATTCACACCCCAACACTTTGAGGATAGGGATGGTAGTTATGTATCGTGCTCACCTGCAAAGTGTGCAAGGGCCAAGGATAGATGCGCACACACAGGTTCGTTGGAACATAGGGATTGCCATTATGGCACACATCACCATCATCATCAGGTCAGCATGGGTTTTTCCATTTGACTTTGCGCCTCTCTGCCTCTCCTCGATTCTTATCGTGCTGCTCCAGTTCTGTCCTCGCCCCCCCTCCCTCCAATCCCCACCCAACCCAACACTTGACCAGAGACCTTCTTTACACACCTCTCTCTGGGGTCCTGCCTTCCACTCTCAGCCGCCTCTCCCGCCTCACATACCTGTCAGATCCGTTCTCAACCCTTTTCCTTGTTCGTTTGTCTCTTTGTCATTTTGTTTGTTTTTGCGTTGCATTGCACGCATTACTTTCATGATGGCCGTGTGCTAGTCTGCCTGCCTCTCAGGTCAATCAGTCGGTTGGCTTGGCTGTCTGGCAGAACTTTTGGGTGTGCACCATCAATTGCTATCTGATGCCAACCCCACCATAATTGACTTGACCGTCAAGTCTTGCTGGCATTTTCAACCACACCGCATCCACACCCCTTTTCCAGCCAATGACCCTTTTGACACATCTCTGCGGCACACCACTTCTTCCAGCCAGTCGTGGTGTTTGCCTTAATTGCCTTGCCTGTCCGTTTGATTGCACCTGCCCTCCTATTCCTGTACTGTTTCAAACGTGCTTGCTCCGTACAGGTCCACGTCTCGGCTTTCTCTCCCCCAACTCTCATCCCACCCTTACAACCCCTCTCTCGCTGGTCCTTACCTTACTCTCTATCAGCAACATCGGTGGAACTGGCTTCACCGGGCGTTTGGAGGACCTCTCGTGGCTCTCAAACCTCACCAACCTGCGCTCTCTGTATGCCCCGTGCCTTGTTCCTCTAACCCAAATGCTGCACGCCCTGCTGCTGCTGCTCCTTCTGATTGCAATGCATGGAATGGAGGTATGCACATAAGCAAGCGATCACTCCCTATGCAAGTGCTCACTGAGTCTGTATGCGTTCCTGGTAGTGCTGCTCATTCTGTAACCTCCTCAAATTATATCATGTAGCCAGCAAGTGTCCGTCAAAGTTTACGCGAGCACGTAACTGTGTGGAGCTCGTAGAATCTCTGCATCCTGCTGTCCTTTGGTGAGTTGGAAAGCATGGTCACCAGGACACGCATATACAACTCTCAATCGCATGTCTTGTCTTCCATTTTGAGCTCGGCAATTTTGTTGTTTGCCGAACCACATGTATGTGTCAGCATTGTCTCCTCTAGTCCCCAGACCCAGCACCAGCCAAGCATGTTATGAACGTCTATGATCTTCTTCTGATACAGACATGCTCTTGCACTTGCACCACTACCCCATCACACACCGTCCATTTTACCCTATGTTCTTGTGTTTGTGCACAAGAGCAGGCCATTTCTAAGAGCCCCCTGCTATTCATGCTAGAAATCAAGAAGTTGATTCATTGAGGAAAACAAGTGTTTACATAAGATGAAAGAAAGAGGTGGAAGAAAAGAAGGTAGTTAGGGGCAAATTGGTTGTTGGAATGGTCAACCACAAGAGTAACACATTATTTAACGATTTGCTTTTTCTCTGTGTCCCCGCTCATGCATCTGTTTGTTTCTCTACCTGCTCCGTTTCTGCATTCATGGATCTTCGTCTTCCAACTAACCCTTTTTCGTTTCCTTCATAGTTCATTCAGTTTTTGAGGCGCCTCAAAGAAACCCCCGTTTGCATCTCGTATACAACACCTTCTTGGCCAGCCTTGCAGCTCTCCTCGCCCAATGGCCTTCACGCCCTCACAAACTGCACTGCAGTACTTTCTCAATAATGATGTGCTCTTCTGTTTATGTCCCTTGCACGTGCACCCGTGACAACATATCAGTATGATGGATTACATGCGGAGTATAAGTGGGGATTTGTCATCCCTCACCTTTCTCACCGCTCTCAGGGCCCTGCAACAATTGTAAGCATGACGCTGCAAGAACAGTGAAGATTGTATCAGCAGACTCCTTTTTTTTTTTTTTTTTAAGGGTTCTACTTAAATAGGAAGTAGTCAAATGTCCTTGATCAGGAAGATGGTACAAGTCCAACCAGAGAGGAATATCTTTTTGCAAGGATGAAGCCATACACATATGGCTGGCTGAGCTTTCAAGCCTTGCAGCAGCACCTCAAGATTGAGGACAAGACCAATGAGCCTTGGACAAGCTAGGAGGAAGTGAGGCCACATGTTGCACATGCTGGCCAGACTAAAACATCAGCGTTCATGTCAACGTATCGCACACCACATGGGGCAACAAGGTGAGCATGGGATGGGGGGACAGTTCGCTGGTAATGACAACTGTGACCACAACTCACCATAGGTGTGCATAACCTGAGATGTATGCACGCATGCTGGGAGTTGAACTTTAACCTTTCAAGTCTGAGGGTGGGGGCGCATTCTTTGGGACATACTTGATGGCAATAAGAGAATCTTTGAGACGTCCCAAAAGACATACCTGATGCCAATAATAGAACCTTTTGAGACGTCTTAATGCTTGATGCCAAATACAGGAGAACGTGGAATGTAGAAGAACTTAATGTGCAATAACTTGTACGACCAGACCAGGTAGCTGGGTGCCGTGCGGAGAGTCTAACACATTGATGCATGCATGCAGTCTATTGACAGGGACATTGCATGCGTTTTCTTATGATGTTTCCTCTTCTGGATAAAGTATAGCATTGATGCAACCTTATGTGCACCTCCCGTATTCTTGCAGCACCATTGCAAGCGACACACACTGGACTGGGGAGCTACCAGTGTCGCTCGGAACCCTCACCTCCCTCACCCATTTGTGAGCTATTCGCAGCACCTCCCGTTCTGCAACTTCTGCTGCAGGCATTTGCCGGCACCATCCGTTTATATCATCCCATACGCAGTAGTAGCTCAGTCGACAATGGGGAAAAGGAGATTGCAAGTAGGAGCCTTACTGATGCACGTCCAGTTGCTGATTTCAACTTAAGTAGAAACATCTGGGGCGTACAGATTTTCCCTCTGGGACAGCAATGAGTATCTGTGCGGCTCAGCTCTCTATTAGTCTAACCCAAAGACAGCAAGCACAACCTTGAGCTCTCTTGACTTCACTTGAGTGTGGCGTACTCATGTGTACACTCCTTGCTCCAAATGTGCAGGGACTTATCCCGCATTGCAACCGCTCAGTTCCCCCGATGGGTGATGGACTTGACAGCCTTGCGATTCCTGTAAGTCCGCTGCACTGCACTTACTCTATTCCGACCTGGGTTGGACTGCACTGCACTGCACTGCACTTACTCTATTCTTGACAGCCTTGCGCTTCTGGGTCGGGGTTGGACTGATGCTCAAATTTACTCTCTATCTCCTCTGCCCCATCCTCCCCCCCCCCCCCCCCCCCCCCCCCCCCCCCCCCCTCTCTCTCTCCCCCTTTTCCCCCTTCAATATCTCCCTCCTGCCAGTGACGTGACCCATGACGTTGACTCTCGCTCCGGAGTGGCCGCCTCAGCCAGACTTTTGAGACGTCTGAAAAGCCCCCCTCCTCTGCCCTATTCCCCCCTTTTGATTCCTCCTCCTGCCAGTGACGTCACCCATGACGTTGACTATCGCTCCGGAGTGGTGCCGCAGGACCTCTCCCGCCTCAGTCAACTACAGCACTTGTGAGTGCCTCTCTTGACTGTGTATTTTTTTCTATGTGCGCCTTTGACTGTTGTGTTGCCCATCTAAGCCCCCAAGTTTGAAATGCAACATGAGTGTTGATGCTTAGGATGGGTCAGTGCAAAGTGGTTATGGCGGAAGTTCAAGGGGACTGATCTAAAAAGAATGAGTAATTAGATGAGGGAGTGTATGATACTTGGAATGCAGTGTGTGTGGTTCAGAATGAATGAGAAGGAGATCAACCCAATGGCCTAATCGGAAACCCTAAGCTTCTATGGATATGCTGAAGATCTAGGGTGGGTGCTTTTGAGGTACTATGAGAAAATTGCAACTTTGTTTCCTCACCCAACCATGAACAGTGATGCAACAGGCAACGGATTGGTTGGTGCGCTTCCAGAGTACTGGACCACTCTGAACCACCTTACCTTCTTGTGAGACCACCTTTTCACCCCTTGTGCTGCCAGCTTTTGAACTGAATTTCTCGTACATACATGTTCCCCACCCCAATTGCCATTCCTGCAAATTGTTTCTGTTGCACTGATTTTGTGTTTCTTGCCGAACTCGAGATTTTTTCAAAGTGACACTTGTCTTGTCGCTTTTCTATTTCTACTCCACAGGTCGCTTTCTGGAAACAAGATTGAAGGCTCCATTCCATCCACATTATCTGCCCTCACCTCCTTGAGCACGCTGTAAGTCGTTCGTGCTTGCATTGTGTAACTTCCCCTCATCGGTCTGTGCTTGTGGCTCATTCTGAGTCCAACCCACAAAAAAATCGTTTACACCAAACCAAACTAGGTTACAGAAACAGTAGTTTCTCTGTAGTTTTATTTGATCTTTTTCATTATGAGATGGTGTGCGTATGGTAGGTAAGGGTGTGACATCATCAGAGAGACATGGCCCTATGGAGCACAAAGAACATTGATGAGATTGTGTGAATTGAGACCGATGTCTGTGGTGTAAAAGTACTAATATCATGTCGTGAACTTGAGCTACAATGGATTCCGTAGGTGGTAGTGGAGCTCACAACGGTATAGGCAGACGGGAGAAGAAAGGAGGTGAAGGAGCAAGGGACGGGGGAGTGGAAAAGGGTGAAGGATGGAGAGTGGGAAAGGACACTGTACATGCATTGGGCGCATTGGGTGGGAGAGAGTGTGCAGAAGGGAGAGGGGAGCTGACGAATTTACGCTGAGGGTAGGGGAGGGCATGCAATGGCCTGGAGAGGGCATGCTACGAATAGTGGAGGCCGTGTGGAGCTAGGAGCATCACCTGAAGGCAGCAGCAGCACAAATATTGTAAAACCTGTCGCAATGTAGTGGCGAGCAGGCCGGCACGATGTGAAGTTGAAGAATCGACTCTCGGCACTGCATGAAAAATGGCGCGACAGAGCGAGAGCAGGGCAATGAATGGGTGCAGCACAGAGTGTTCGGCTAGCAAGAAGGGTGGACCCACAAGATCGAAGCGTCGGAAGTATTTGTAAAGGTGGCAGGCAAGTGAATGCTGAAAACATGGTGCGAGAAAAAGGTACATGGAAAAACAATCTGGAAATGCAGGCACTGTGACGTTAGGAGATGAAAGAGTAAGAAGCCTCAGAACCCTAGAACCTGGCTCCGTTATCAGGTTGAAATGAATGAGGGCCTTGAATACTTGGGAAGAAGAGAATTATATTAGAAAGGGGAAGAGCTTACCAAAACAGTTAAAAAACTGTGGTGCATCACCGACAACTAGGTGAGATTACATACACTTGAGACTTTGCTGAAAGAAATTCGTATAATGGGATACATATGTTCCAACGTTTTACACATGGATTGGTGTGATAAGAATCAATTGTTGGGACTTCTCAATTGGTTGTCCAGTTTTTGAGTCGACTAAGAAACAGAATTGGTGGGATTTCCAAGTAGGTATGTCCAGTTATCAGGTTGTCGGTTTCAGAGGATATATTTTGGTGAGTTTGTAATTCGTGTAACACCCAACCCACAAAACTCACTCCTACATAAAACCACGTTATAGGACCAAGGACAAACGTGAGATTGTGCTCAACTTTAACACTTTGTTCTCCAGTGAATACCTCGGTGCTATTAACACTCGAGCTACTCTATGTCACTCAATCCTCCTTTTTTGGTGTTCCAGAGACCTGAGTGGCAACAGCATGGACAGCACCATTCCACGAGTCTTTGCCACAACTCTCAGTAGCCTGTGCTCTCCCTACCCCTTTCCCAGGAGTATTTGATTATTTTATTTTCCTAGTTATGGGATTTTCCTAGCCCCGCAACCTGAATGAATTCACCCTTTGCTGGGCAAAAGGATAGGCCTTGCTTGGCTGCCTGTCCTGTCCTTGCTTTGCGTGCTGTCTATGGCTCAGGAGGCATACTAAGATCCTTCCAGTCTACGTCTCAGTTTCAACTCAAAATGAATTGGATTATTGACAAACACGCCTCATTAACCCTCTGAGGCTTCGGCTGTGCTGGGTCTCCATTCCAAGTTCCAACCTTTGATCTCATGTATCACATTTGAAATAGAAACTCATCTATCTTCCTTCACCCCCTTGCTTCCAGCAACCTCAATGGTAATGGCTTCTCTGGCCCTGTGCCAACATTTCTCGGCTCCCTCACTGGCCTCACATACATGTGAGAGTCCATTGCTGTCCATTGTCATGCACTGCTGTGCTTTGCGAGGCGCCTTGAATGCAGATTAAAGTGACGCCTGGCCGCATAGAATTCTTCTTGTATTGTGGATGTCTTAACACCTGAAGATGTAATATATTACGAAGCGAAACAGAGAGCTGATCTTGTAGTAAGACCGAGCAAGCATAGCAAGGCCGGACATGCAGTTAAGCTGTTGTGCGTGGACAGAACTTGCCTGTCAATCTACTGGAACAATTTGTCTTGAACTGCTGTTCCTGCTGGAATTTCCTAATTCCCGCTCCTGCAAAATGAAAAACCACAAAGATTGCAAATTGGTGGCCACCTCTTTGTCTGTTTGCAACAAGGCTGCATGCAGTAGTGTATAGCCTTGTTGTGGTGCACGTGGCTTGAAAAAATCACGTACCTTCATCTATTTAACCTCTCCTTGTGCCTCTTGCCAGGGACTTGCGTGAAAACAACTTCACAGGGGCGATTCCCGAGTCTTTTACAGGCCTCACCAACATGCCTGGACTGTATGCCATGGCATGACCTCTTTGGTAGCATCGAGTAGCTTCTTTGTATCGAATGCGTTTGAAGGTGTAAATGGATGAAAGACATAGAAATGTGGGGATAGACAGGTTATCTGTCAGGATACTATATTGCTTGGTAGAGTTAGGCACAGAGGCCTAGTTTGGGTGGAAAAGTAAAAATCTCCCTACTTGGGGTTGGGAGCTCAACATTGGCCCAATTTTCTGGACCCCAAGTTTGGGTTGGGCGATTGTTGGAACCCCAATAGCGTTGGCTGATTATTCGGAATGCTTATTGGTGGGGGCGAATATGTTGGCTAAGGTTCGAACCACCCCCCCTTGCCTGTCACTACTATGAATACACTTGTCTAGCCTAATGAAATCATGGTTTCCTCTCAGTAGCTGGTTAGCGAGGTTGACATTTTCAAGAAAAAAAGTCCCACGGAATAAAATGAGGGCTAGAATGTACGTAGTCAGGTTGATGAACTGCTAAAAAGACTCTCACCTCTGTGCGTTGCCCTCCTCAAACTCATTACCACGCCGTGACGTTCCGCCACTTCTGTTGTGCTTCCTTGTTTCAGCCGGTTGGCTGGCAACCAGTTGAATTCAGGGCTTGAAGTGGTTGAGAGGATGACATGGCTTGATTCACTGTGAGTTCATTCTGTACACCCGTTCTTAACCTAATATATACCTTAACGAATGATGGCTCAGTAACATTGGTTTTTCTACTCTATGGAGGTATTAGTCTCAACTTGTTTTGGTCGAGTATAATATCTTTCATTTCTTACAAGAAACGTGCATGTGTGTGTGTGTGTGTGTGTGTGTGTGTGTGAGTGTGTGTGTGTGTGTGTGTGTGTGTGTGTGTGTGTTTTGTTTTGTTTGTTTGTTTGTTTTTTACACTCAATCAGCTCATGATCCGAGCATCATTCGACGACTGATCCGCGCAGATATAGCTGATTTCAGTTCACTATGTGTGATCAGCTGCATGATCTCACAATCCCTGACATGGCAAAAATTGTCCCTTTTTCTTTCCCTTCCACTATACATCGCAGGGAAATTTCTTACAACATGTTTGCGGGTAGTTTCCCCAGTCTTTCGTCCTCCCCTCTTCTCAGTCTATTGTAAGTGAATCTTTGGGCAAATGAAGCACCTTCTTTTTACTCTAGTCTCCTCTATTCACCTTTAGGCTGACAAAGTCACACCTTGGTTTAATCGCCAGTGTTAAGGTTGACACAACACAAGCACGGGTTAATTCGAGCTGAGTTGTTTCGACTCACTATCTGTAGAGCCACCATTCTTGGTGAGCCGTTAAGTATTGTCGATAGTTAAGTTTCACTACAAGCAAACTGGTGAGTCGATTAAGCCAACGAGGCATGGCGGACTAGAGTCAATTGACTTGCGAGTTACATTACAACTGACGTGAGAACATGCATGAGTTAAGTAAAGGAGGGGCCTACTCCTGTTGAGGAGACTTGGATGAGAGCAGATGATATGAGAGGAAAGAAAACGTGACGAGAGCAGATGAGAGGAGAAACGGAGCGACACTGCAAAATATGGACAAAAGAGCAGGCATACAACCAATACAAGAAACAACCAACTAGAGTGGAACTTAGCTCGAATAAGAGACTAACATGCTCGGTATGAGCAAAACCCAGCCCCTGGCCGGCCAGCCACAGGACAGACTGATTTTGCAATAAGGCGGGCCTCAACTTGTGTACTTCAGACTGGTTCGCTTTCCCGTTACACCTCTTCGCAATCACCAGGATCGAGCAAATGCTCAAACATTTCGTTTGGTCATTACAACTTCCCACTGCCTTAGGCACTTCTTTATTCCATGTGTATCATAACTGGTGTCCGCTTTTTAATGCGCAATTGATATGGGATCAGCTTTATTCTTGCTATATATGAATTTCAAGTTTTTGAAATGATTAGGAAAGTGGTACCGCATTTGAGATCGTATTTCTCTTACAGGCTTACCTTAAGATTATGTGTACATCCCTTTGTGTGACCACACAGGGGTGTTCGCGGCAACTCTTTTCACGGATCATTTCCGTCTGCTCTGCTGAACCTCACCAGTCTCATGTATCTGTGCGTTTGGCTTCCTGCAGATAACCTTGCCGCCATACTACAATCCTCACCCCACGACCTGCTCGTTGAGTCGAGTCGTGCACAACACTTTTTTGGGTCACGATCTTGCGTTACTCAGTCCCAGCGCCCGTTCTTGACCTCGTGCACCACAGGCCGGAGCCAGCCCGACCCAGGCCGGCCCCAGGCCTACATTATCTTCCCTTGGCCAACCCATGCTGGCAGGACCAAGGCTGCCGGTGTCCTGACCAGGCTGGCTCGACCCGGCCGCCCCCAGCCTCGCCCACCACAACACATGGTTGCTGTGCGTCGGGCCAGCCCGGCTCCACAGAGGCAGGCAAATCAAGGCGAAAACCACTGGTTTTTCTGTTTAATCACATCACATGTATAGTCTACATTGTGTTGAGTGCAAATACTTAATTTGCACGTCAACCTACTGTCTATTCGACGGCAGTGAAGGGGAAAGGGGTGTTGTCATGCAAAGGTAATTTTGTTATGTGCATTTCATTTTGCATTTTGTGTGTGCGCATTTTGTTTGTGTCCTCTACACATTTGTTTTTGCATTTTGTGTGTTTCGTTTTCATCCGTAATTGCATTTTGTGTTAGTGCATTTTCATTTGCGTTTTCACTGTTCTCATGAAGCGCTCAAATGAGGCTCACATGATGCGCTCAAATGAAGCTCTCATGAAGCGCTCAAATGAGGCTCCCATGACGCGCTCAAATGAAGCTCTCATGAAGCTCCAATGAGGCTGAAATAGACTTCTCATGAATGTGCCATTTGTTTCTAATGTTTCATTCGTGGCTCATTCGAGCGAGTGGTGTACCGTGGGGTGTTTTCTGTGGGGGTCGACATTTTGACTGGTCAACGGGGGTGCTGTTGACTTCCGCGCTGGTCAAGGTAAACAGAGCGCGAGAATCTGGACTGCGCGTTGGGTCCAGATCTCGCGCGTGCCCCTCAGGCTACATGCGTGTGTGAGGATTTGTTGCGATCTCGCACAGTGCGCATGATCGCAACAGACAGGGCAAAAGATTGCCCTGTCACGCGCTGTACTGCGCACGATCGCTGACGCGATCGCACTGTACAGCACGACCGAGATTTTTCGGTCGTGCTGGATTTCCCCTCGGGGGTGCGCGTGGGTTGTGGGGGGTGCTGCAAGATTCCGAAGGTTGCTCGGAAATACAGTTGAAAAACTGTTTTCCGAGTTGACTTACGGGACGGGAAATTTCTCGCGAATGTCACGCTGCTTTGCGTGATCATTTCGCCACAGGTACAAAACGGTTAATCCGTTTTTCAAACGGTAAAAACCGTTATATAACTGTGAGCTCGCATGAAGACATTGGAGCTACATTGGATCCACATGCAAGTCTCATGAGTGCACACATTTGAGTCAGCAGGGGCAACTGTTACAAGTACAGTTTGAAGACAGTTTTAAACAAGAGGAGGATAAAGCCAAATGCTCAAGGAGTTGAGCAACCGTTTTCAAATACAGCGTGGCGAAATCCTGTGGATTAGTTTAACAACTGTTTTGTGCCCGCCCTTGCCAGTGCGTAGAAGCTATATAAATGTGTGGTTGTACTTGTCGAAGTTAATTCAATGCATTCGCATTTTTTAGCTTGAATTCTACTACTTCGTATTGACGAGGGTAGAAACGATGGTGCTACCAAAACTCTGCTCGACCAGTTTTGTTGTTCTACAAGCATAAGCAAGGCATAACTACTCACTTGTATGCGCCCTTGGCTAGGAGGTGACAAGCTGTCACGCTCGAAGGGCTGCAAGTGATGTTAAGTGTTGCCAAGTTTATTTTGTAGTTCAAGTTTAATTGCTTCCGCATAACGTTATAGCTGTCAACACATTGAACCGTGTACTCTTCAACCATGCCGTAGTCTACACAAGACAAATGTGCATTCTCTTCTTTCCGCATCCTGCGCAGAGACGTCGGGCAGAATCAGCTGTACGGGTCCATTCCTGATGACATATCTACATTACAAAGTCTGGATACTCTGTATGTCTCTCCTGGCTCTTGCTGCACAGCACCTTCATAGAAGCTGTTGTTCGAATGGGTTGCTAATTGCAGCAACTTACATTGATTATTATCAGGGAATATTTCATGACGGTTGCAACTGAGAGAAGGCACAATATCTCTTGGCATCCCATGTGCCACGCCACTCAATCGTCGTCGTCTTGCCTTGTTATCAAATGGGGCTGGTCATGTCGAGGCGTGTATATATGCTCATATCTAGCACATGGCATGTGTGCTTCATTTTCTCTTGACTTGTAATAGCCTTAATGCTATTCCTTTTTTTCCACACAAACCATCCTGAAACCCATCTTGTCCCTCCGCTCTTTGCTCACACCCCCCTCCTCTTTCCTTGGACTTTTGGGGGAGAATCCAGGAGGAAATGAGGCCCCCTTTTCCCACACTTGGCTATCCACCCTCCCCGTACCCCACTCTTCTTTTTCCTGCTTTCCTTCTCTCCCCTTTTTTCCCTGTTGTTAGAAGGCCCCATAGCATATTCTTTACTTCCACACACATCCCCTCGTCAACAGAAGCATTGACTACAACAGCTTTCACGGGGAGATCCCTCTTAGCCTCTTTACCATCAAAGACATTTCTGCCTTGTGAGTTGGGGTGAAGTGAAGTACACACTCCGCCTGCTCAGGGCTCACTCACCCCCTCCATCCCTCCGTACATTCTCCTAAGCTGTATCAATTATCCCCAGTGAGACTGTATCATCTCCATTTGACTCCATGCATGCATGCCTCTAGATTTCCCAATAGTTTCCCACCACTCTATCTCACTTCTGTACTGCTCTGTCTCTCGTTCCCAAAAACTTCATTCTATGTGGACCGCCTTTCAGATATTTGAATGGCAATCGGCTAGGAGGAAGTCTGCCCAGCAGATTAGTAACAGGATCCCTCGCCCAATTGTATGTTCCCATCAGTTGCTGTGGGATAAGGAGAATTGGGGGGCTGGTTGAATGGGGACTATTGACACGACACTTGTGGTGTCTGGTTTGCACACAGCAGTGTTCCCAGTTTTCTTTTATTGTTGGGAATGTAATGTGTTGAACATTTTTGGCATGTGGTGACAGGCACCTTCAAGGAAATGGATTGTCGGGCCCTCTTCCCGATTTTGCACACTGGAACACGTCTCTTTTATACTTGTAAGTCTGGCATGGGTAGAAGATTGTTGCGGTGGGAGAAATTTTGGAGGAATAAAAATGTCCCCATAGGTTCATACAGGAGTCTCTTGTGTCAAATCCTGTGGTGTTCAATCCCGCAGGACTCTGGTTGTTCATTGTTCTTCCATTCCTCTCCAGGTTTCTACGAGACAACAACTTTACAGGGTCCATACCGCAATCAATCAGCACTCTGACTTCACTCAGCATAATGTGAGCCATTTTCACCATCTGTCTGCATCATCTGCGCCATCTGTCTGTATCATATAGGCCATCTGTCTGTACCGTATCATTGTCACCATCTGTCTGTACCGTTTCATCGTCACCATCTGTCTGTACCGTATCATCTTCACCATCTGTCTGTACCGTATCAACTTCACCATCTGTCTGTGCCGTATCATCTTCACCATCTGTCTGTACCATATCATCTCCACCATCTGTCTGTACCGTACCATCTTCACCATATGTCTGAACCGTATCATCTTCACCATCTGTCTGTACCGTATCATCTTCACCATCTGTCTGTACCGTATCAACTTCACCATCTGTCTGTGCCGTATCATCTTCACCATCTGTCTGTACCGTATCATCGTCACCATCTGTCTGTACCGTACCATCGTCACCATCTGTCTGTACCGTATCATCTTCACCATCTGTCTGTACCGTAACATCTTCACCATCTGTCTGTACCGTATCATCTTCACCATCTGTCTGTGCCGTATCATCTTCACCACCTGTCTGTACCGTATCATCGTCACCATCTGTCTGTACTGTATCATCGTCACCATCTGTCTGTACCGTATCATCTTCACCATCTGTCTGTACCGTATCATCTTCACCATCTGTCTGTACCGTATCATCTTCACTATATGTCTGTACCGTATCAACTTCACCATCTGTCTGTGCCGTATCATTTCACCATCTGTCTGTACCGTATCATCTTCACCATCTGTCTGTACCGTATCATCTTCACCATCTGTCTGTACCGTATCATCTTCTATACCATCTGTTTGAACCATCCACTGTGAAAGGAAAATCATTATAATGAGGCTCAAGTGAGCCTGGCTGAGGCATACATAGGTAGATTCATGGATAACCTAGAGTAGGTTGGGCAACAAAATTTGGAAGCCCCAATGAATGCTAATTAGGTTGGCTAGCAATTGTTCCCAGTAAATACAAGTTGGGTTGGGAAACAATGATTCCCAGCAAATGCTGGTTGTGTTGGCCAACAATTATTTACCAATAAATGTGCGTTGAGCTGGAAAGCATCACAGGGGGTCCACTTATTGCTGGTTGGGTTTTGACCAATACTACCGGGGGGTCAGTCATTACTGGGGAACAAATAGTCATCCAACCACAATTTGTGGTTGGAGGGTACGTACACCCAACAACCCCTTAACGAGTTTGCAAATACACTCATATTCTAGCCTATAACTACATCAACATTTAACACCTATATACAACATTTAGACTGTTGTATTGTCTGCCAGCTGTAGATCCATTCATCCTCTCTCTTGTATTGTCCGTGACCTCTGCAGTTCATTGGCCAACAACCAGCTATCAGGGACATTGCATACATCTCTTACAACCTTGACCAATATTGCAGTCATGTAATCCAGTTTGTTACTTTTTTTTTTTCTCGTGTTGAGTGCAATACAGTTTTTGCACATCAATTTACTGCTTAGTCACCGACAAAGAAAGAAAACAGAGTGTTTTTAGTAAACGTAATCTGTGATGTATTAGACACGCATTCGTGAATCGCCTCGACGGTTCACGAGTTATGTGCGTTCTCATGAGAGGTTGCATTTCTGAGAGTTTTTAAATGTCTGTGTGTGAGAAACTGTGTGCGTTTGCGCTGGTCTGCAAGGTGTCCTGAGTGTGCGTGAGTTTTAGTGTTAGTGAAACTCCGTGAGGTTCATGAGTCCGGGAGCGTTCACATAAGTTTGTCTTTTTTTCTCAACTTTTGTGTGTGCTCGTGAAGAGTTGCGAGTGCTTACGAGGGGCCAATGTTTGCCCCTCATATTTTCGCAACAATGAAGGAAAAGGTGTGTGAAAGTTTGGACTACGCTTCTGGTCATGGTTTCACACGCGGCCCCTCACGGCCCGAGCGTGTGCCTCGCACTATTGCGAGCGTGTACAGTGTGCACGATCACAACAAGACAATGCAAGTGATCACCCTGCCCTCGCGAGAGCAGCGCACGTTTGTGTGCATGATTGCACCCCTCGGAAGTGAGTGTGGGTACAGAGGGGTGCCGAGTGGTCCCGAACGGTGCTCGGGATTGACTTGAGATATATGTTAAATGGCAGAATCTCGAACCTCGTCCTTTGTGTTTTTTTTTGCCAGAAAGTCGCGAGCATAACGCGATTGGTTTTATTACTGGTACAAAATGGTGAAAACCGTTTTTCCAACTGTAACGCCTTGAGAAAACAGTATTTCCACATGAGGCTTCATGAATACCAATGTGAAGTCTTGAGTGCTTGGGTCAGCAGAGTTGTTTGGAACAAGTGTAAACTGAAAACATATTTCTAAGACGAACCAAGCCAAATCGACGGAAGTTTGACAAGGCCAACCTGGCGAAGTCCCTAAATACAGTTAATCAACAGCTCGCGCAGTAGTTCTTATGCATATATGTGCGTGTGTTTAGCTGTAATCAGTCTTTCTGAGTCCATTTTCTCTATTGACGAATTGACGCAAAGATTCTTTTTGCACACATACCAATCAATCGTCATAACACTGCGCAAAGGAGTGCGGCAACATTCTTGTGCTCACATTTGATTCTACACTGGGTTTTCTCTCATCAAACACAGACCCTTAAATAGGGGCTGGTTCCGTCAGGCACCCGAGGACCCTTGGAGGTGACCTTGTGGAGAATACTTCGTATGAAATCAAACATAGAGTACAACAGTCAACAACAATAACAGTCAACCATACAAACATACAACAGTCGCTGCACATAGAGTTTGTAGATCTCATAATAGTCAACCATACAAACATGTACAACGACAATCGCTGCTTTGTATTATCTTCAAAAACAGTGTCCTTACAACTGTCCTTTTCTTGCTCGCCATCTCATCTCAATCAAGGAGCCCTGTTTAACCGTGCCTACATGAACTTATGTTATTTCATGTGTCTACTACTCCTGCACCCCCATTACAGACTTGGTGAATAATGTTCGAGGCGCCACGAGAGTTGATTCAGTGCGCCAATGCTCTTGTGCCATGCATCCATCTCTCTGCACTCCCATCAGAGACCTGGCGGGCAACAGCATCTCAGGACCCTTGCCTACTGGCCTCGGGGCCCTCTTCAAACTCATTACCTTGTAGCTAAGAGCTATCTTGCATGCTCTATCATGTGTCATGCAATGCTATGGCATGTCCTGTTTCATTGTTGAATGTTGCGCTGTATGCATTCAATGTTATCTTGCTTCGACTCAAGTTTGCTGGAATTTCCCTGTTCTCTTATCATGCATAGACTAGGCTCGGTCATAAGTAACCACCCAGGGAAGGTTCGTACGTACAAGTAGGACTTACCTTGGTTGAGGGGTTTGGTTCCAATCTCGGCCCCAATTTTGTGAACCCCAATTGTTGGGTTACAGTGATTGCGGGACCAATTATCCTGGCCACCATATTAGCAAGGTGATTGTCTCCCTTAATTTATTTGAACCCCAGCTTATTTGGAGAAGCAAGTAATTGAGCCCCAGCCATACACAGCTCAAGTTTCCATCTATCATCTTTGCCACGCGAACTTTTTATTGCCTAGTAATGTCAACTTACTGCTGTCTATATTTTTTTTTGCGCTCAAACAAGGTTTCATAGCAACTTTTGCTTCAATCTCTCTTTCTTTCACCTTTTCCCAAGTTTTTCCCGCCACAGCATAACACTCATACCATGAAGAGTGAAAAAGAATGGAGGCCTGAAAGAGGAGCCATGCTACACTACAAAAAATGAAGCTCCCTTTTTTTAAATTTAATTATTAATGAACATAAAAGATAAATCAAGCTTGCAATGGTGATCTTTTGCAGCTTAGAATATTTCTGCAATTGAAGCAGCCTTGGTCTCTGAGTCAATGGTGACTGAGATTGGCTCTGATGTCTCTGCATGCTTGCAGGTCTCTATCTGACAACCAGCTCACAGGGAGACTCCCCACTTCCACATGCAACCTCACCAAATTAGAACGGCTGTATGCGTCTTCCTTTAAATCTCAAATCATTGCCATACATGACAATTAGCGGCAAAAATACCCTCATCGTTTCTTTTCTCCCCCCTTTCTAGCACGGCGATGGATTTGTTGTAGGATAAAGCCTTTATTGTAAAGGCAGAAATCCTTCTTGCACGTATTGCTTGCTCCTTGGTTTCTCTCGTGTACGGCATGTGATTCTCCTCTCACTGTTTCAGGCTTCTTCGCAACAACCACTTCTATGGGACATTTCCGTCCTGCTTCTTTGAATATTGCTTGCACGTGATGTGAGTGCGCTATGCCCAATAGAGTAGAGCCCTGTTATTCAAGACCATCTATCTTTACCCCCGCTCGCCTCCATACTCGACCAAAGCGTCGGGCATTTCTCCCCCCCATCTCCAGGCCTCCTGGCCAATAGCTCCGACTCCCACCTGTTTCCCCCACCCCAGACACGCCTGACGTCCCCCTACATCCCCTCCACGGCCCCTCCCTTAAGCAGCAAACCAATCCTGACGGCCCTCTGCACCCTCCCCCACCACCTCCAACATTCTCCTCCTCCTTGGGGGCCTAAAATTAATGCTACGAGTATTGATTGTACTTCTGGTGGGGTCAGGTAAAAGCTGAGCATAGATTTACCACCGCTCCAACGCTTAGCTCAACTCAACTCAGTTGACAAAGACGTGCGCATGCACCGCGCACGTGCGCCCATGCCACACACACACACACGCACACACACTCACCCACACACGCACACACACACACACACACACGCACACGCACACGCACACGCACGCACACGCGCACGCGCGCGCACGTGCACGCACACACACACACACACACGCACGCACGCACACACGCACGCACGCACGCACGCACACACACACACACACACACACACACACACACACACACACACAGAGTCATGTGTGTGCACGCACACACACGCACACGCACGCACACACAAACACACATGAGTTCACTTGTTGAGTATCAAAAGCGATTCAAGCTTGTGCATTACTTGTATTGTCATGTCTAGAACAAGCTGATAATCCAAGAGTACCGCCGAAACAGGGAACAACCCCGATCTCATTCCCATAAATCGGCATAACTGCCCCTTGAGCTCTTGCCGGTGAGCAAGCTGCATCCTCACCTCTTTGAGAGTGGAGTGGTGAGAGATAAAGATGGTTCATACTGGGTTGAGCTGAGCAACTGGCCAAGCCTGGCTTGCCGGCTTGTGGAGGTTGCAAGCTCAAGCCATTGTAGCAACCAGCCGCGGCTCTGGACACGCACTTGTTGTTATTCCTTTCACTCACGTTTCCCTTTTGTCTTCCACATTACGCATTCCATTCTTCCAGCGACATCAGCAACAACAGCTTCTACGGCCCCATCAACAGCAACTTCCGCAGCATGATTCCTGACAACGGCGCTCTGCTCAACATCGCAGGCAACTTCTTCTACGGCGACCCCATGCTCTACGCCGATGGCTGCCAGTTCTGCCCCTCGGGGGTCATCCAGCCCCTTGTCTTGTTGCCAGGCGACCTCACTCTCCCCTCTGGCGGCCGCTGCATGCTCAATGGGGGTGTTCAGATGACGCGTGCAGGCGCCAACAAGCAGGGCCAGGCGAGTCTAAGGCAGAACTGTTTCACGCTGAACAAGCAGATGGAGTGCACGGCGAACGAGACGCAGCGCAGCAGCGACGAGTGCCTGGCATTCTGCAGTATGTCGCGGGAGCTGGGGCCGTGCGACGGGCACGGAGCGTGTGTGCCGCCGCAGGTGGGGGCAGCAGAGGCGCGCTTCACGTGTGAGTGCGACGACGGCTTCGTCCCCACCAACGGCACCCTCGGCTCCACCTGCGCCCGCCCTGCTCCGCCCCCTGCTGCAGGTATGCACTGCTCCGCCCCCTCCACCAGGTATGCTGTGTCATGGGCCAGGGAATGGCAGAAGATTGTGCTGCTGGTGAAGCGGCTTTGAAGATTGCCTATCTTAAGATCATACTTGTGGAGCTGCATCAACCAATTTTCCTTGTCTTCTCAACTACTCTCCCCAAACTCTTTCTCCCTTGTTTGTTCTCCTCTGCCCTCTTCTCCCATCTCCAGCGCTCTCCACGGGCGCAGTGGTGGGCATCGCTGTGGGCTCTGCTGCCGCCTTTGCTCTCCTCCTCGCTCTCGTTGTCGCGCTGCTCTGGCCCCGCCAACGCAGTGAGCCCCATTCCCATTACCCCACTTTCCAACAGTCAAATTCTACTGTAGTTGTACTCTTGCTTGTGTGCAGAAGACTAATGTATGTGCACCCTTGAATATTGCGTGCTGATGAGCATTCTGGCATGCTGTGTGGTGTGGCATGGCAGGGCGGTGGAGCGACCTGGACGTGTGTCAGGAGTTCAGCATGGGGGAGATTCTGCGGGCGACAGACAACTGGGCGAGCAGCAATGTGTTGGGGAAGGGCGGCTTTGCCACCGTCTACAAGGGCGTCTCCTCCAAGGGCGACCTCTGGGCTGTCAAGCGCATCGCACTCATGTCCAACGACTTCCAGACTGAGGTGGGGAAAGAAATCGTCAACTTCCAGACTGAGGTGGGGAAAGAAATCGTCTACTTCCAGACTGGCTGGTCACTCCCGTTCATGTCTCTATCAGCCTGCTTGCTTCCGCGGTGCTTGCTCGGTACCCTTTCGCCGCTAGTCAGGTGTTGCCCGCATCAGCAGTTAGCGCCCTGTCTGAATCCCAGACACTAACCATTGGGATTAAAGTGCTTGTTAACTATCGGGCGAGTGCCTCCATAACCTTCCAGGCAAGCATGCTTGTAACCCTTCCTTAGGATCAGTCAGAAATCCCTAATGCAGGTCTTTTGATACCCCCCTTTTACTGGGATGCCCTAGGACACGGCACAGTGGCAGCGACACATGATGGGCACCAGCATGTGCGCACATGGGGATACGAACCCGAGCCCTTTGATCAAATAACATGTCACTAACCACTAACCATTGAGATAAAAGAGCTTGTAAGTATCGGGAGGGCGCGCCCATAACCTTCCAGGCAAGCGAGTCTATAATCCTTTCATATGATCAATCAGCAGTGGCAGGTGCGGGCGATGGTGCCATGCTAGTACGGCACAAAAGCTTTATTTTTTGTTTCTACTTAAAAATCTTTTCGCAACCCCCTCAATGTCCGGCAGGTGCGGGCGATGGCGTCGCTGCGGCATGAGAACGTGGTGCGCCTGTTGGGCTTCTGCCTGCATCAGAACGTGGAGAGCGGCCAGCAGGAGCAAATCCTCGTCTACGAGTTCGTGCCCAACGGGGACCTCAAGTACCACATCCATGACTCAAAGAGTATGTTCCTCCTGTTTGTGCACACTACATCCCAACGGGGACCTCAAGTACCACATCCACGAATCAAAGAGTACGCTCTGGGAAGAAGTGATTCAATTGAGATAGAGAAATGGGGACCTCAAGTTCCACATTCACGACTATAAGAGTAGGATCTCTCTCCTTGTGCTCCCCTACTACATCCCAACGGGGACCTCAAGTACCACATCCATGACTCGAAGAGTACGCTCTCATTTCATGTGCTCTTCCGCTTGTAATTTTAGTGCTCCCCATAGCTCCCTGTTTGACCCGATAGTTTTCTGCTTCTTTTGCCACTCGCTCTCTTTGAGAGCGGTTCTTTTCCTCTTTCTAGCTTCTTGTATATCAATCTCCCCTCTCCCCTTCCCCAATTCTCTCCCGCCCCCCAACCCCCAGCGCCCCTGACCCTGAAGCAGCGGCTGCAGCTGGCGGTGGGGGCGGCGGAGGGAGTGGCATATCTGCACAGCTTCGCGACGCCCATCGTGCACCGCGACCTCAAGCCCGGCAACATCCTGGTGGGCGAGCACAACCAGGCCAAGATCGCCGACTTTGGGCTGCTCAAGATGCTCAGCCACGCCGAGGGCGATGGTGCCCACGACCGCACTCGAGTGGCCGGCACCCCCGGCTACCTCGACCCCGACTACAACCGCACGCAAGTCGTCTCCGAGAAGAGCGACGTCTACAGGTGCATGCGCCCTTCCCTGCTAATATGACTTTCGAATCGACCTCAAAAGTCACCCTTGGGCCCCCGACTACCTCGACCCCGACTACAACCGCACCCAAGTCGTCTCCGACGAGAGTGATGTGTACAGGTGCCCGTGCACTTCCTTGGAATGGTCTCACCCTGGCTATGCTCCCTCATGTGTTATGTGTATGCCAGTGAAGCAAGCTGTGCTGCAATTCAAATTCCTTGTTCGCTCTCTCTCTCCCGTGCCTTTTTGTCACGCAGTCCTCACTGTTCAATCTACTCTTTTTTGTTTCTGTTTTTTAAGTGCCATGGACGTAGTCCTTTTTGCCTCTTTTTCTCTGTTTTCCCCGCACCCCGTCCTTCCATAATCATTGGCAGCTTTGGCGTGGTGCTGCTGGAGCTGCTGACAAGGCAGAAGGCAGCCGTGGAGGGCACAGATAGCCACATCAGTGACTGGGTGAGTGCATACGACCATGGTGGGTTTGGGTGAGAACCCATGGTAGAAAGTTATGGGTTCTCAGGATGAGCAGGGGGAGAAGCAAGGTTGATTGAGACGGGGGCATAAACAACCTGAATTTCCAACCGCCTACCTCTCCTCATTCATCAAGCCCGTTCTTTGCGTCTCAGAAGCCGTCTTTTTATGTCAATTCAAAAACCCTCTCTTCCACCCTGTGCTCTACCATTCTCCCTCCTGAAAGTGCATGCGCATTCGCAAGGCCCATCTGCACTTAGCTTGCCATTTTGTTACCCTTGTTCGCTCTCCCCCCCAGGCGGCGCGCAAGGTGCAGGTGTACGAGCTGGGCGAGCTGAAGGACGCGGGGCTGGAGGCGCCGGACGAGGCGGTGGTGGAGCTGGCAGACATCGCACTGGACTGCCTCAAGATGCCCGCCTCGCGCCGCCCCCCCATGAAGGACGTCGCCCGGCGCCTCCACAACCTCCTCTCACAGTACTGTGGTGATGGTGACCACTCGGCCGTTGTAGAGCCCGGTTTGAGAATGGAAGGAGGGGGTGTGCAGGGTGACGGTGGCAGCACGGACACGTTTGGGAGGAGCGAGTGGTCGGAGGGGATGAGTGGAGCGTCTGCTGCTTCCAAGAGTCTCATCCATTCGCTGTCGGAGAAGTGGCGGATGATTGAGTAGAACAGAGAATGCTTGTATTGACAAATCCTTTGGAAGTGCACTAAGAAATAACATGCTGTAAGGTTGTGCAGCAGACCTGGGGGTTAAGTGTTGAAATCCCCCTAGAAGAGGGAGAGGGGGGGTAGGGAAGTGGAGGGAAGGGAGGGGGGAACAGTAAATCTGGGGGTTGGGGTGAAATCTGGCTGTAATGTGGGCATCAAGGGATAACCCCTGACGCCCACCTAGGTGAATGTGCAGCCCGGTTTTAAACCCAAGCAGTTTTTTATTAGACCCAGGCTTTAACCCATTCTTTTATTCATGCCCACTCTAGTTTGAACTCCATTTTCAACCTAAGTAATGAACGGATGCATTCGCTGGCTGCAGATAACCTCATACCTTCTGGTAGAGACGCAGGCCTATCATACCCCAGATTGAGGTTTAGGCCTATAATAGGCATATGCACCTCCAGCTGGACTTTCTTATTCCGCGCTCGTTGGGGACTCACTGTCCACACCAAGACGATGAAGGGACTGCGACTGGCTAAAGGTAAGCAAGTCGTTGGTGTTTACGATAATACCCGCCCCCGTACAAAGAACTAAGAAACTCTTAGTGCGAGCCAAAGTACCTCGCCTTTTAAAAGTTTGTACCGTCATCGCCCGGATATAACACTAAGTGTATAAAACCACCCATGTGGCAAACAGCCGACCTTTGGGGTGATGCATGGATCGCCATCACGTGCCACACGAAGGACGCAACAAAGCTGCTTGTGCTGGCAATTGTTACGAATAGTAATATTTGATATTACTGTGCACTCCTCACCGCAGCAAAGAGAAGCACGCAATATCGGGAATGAACGCGAAGCGTCAGACGGTTGGAATTGAATCGAAGCGTCGGACGGTTACAGCACATCTGGACCGTCGGGAGCAGACGAAATCGGGCAGCTACTGGCAGGATGGTTTTGGCGGGAACAGTTACGAAACTGTACGCGCCGCACGGTTGGGGATGTATTTGAATAAGGGAATGTACCCCTTAGAGTACATGGCTAGCTAGGTCGTTTCGTCTTCCCTGTACTCATATTTATATTTCCTGTTTTCGCATGTTTTAATCATCTCAAAGCATTTTACATTCACTCTGCTATTGAGGTCAAGGGCCCACCAAACTATCTCACTGCGTGCGAACCTTCCTGAGTAGATCCTGGGCTACGATCAACTTCTGATCACAGCAGCAATATCCCTCCCTATTGGCAGCATCTTATGATGTTGCCACTGTCGTTTTGCCGCCAGCAGTGCAACCCGTGAACCCTAGTCTGTTTACAAGACCCTATCTTAACTCGTACACACACACACACAGATATCTTATGATTGGGAACACCAAACTATAAGAAACACCCCATTTAAAGGCACACCCTGTTTACAATATGCCACTGTCTTATATCCGAGGTTTACGGTAAGAAGGAACGTAATCAAGCACGGAATGGACCCGTGGAATATGATAAACGTGGACCAAATTAATAAGAGTCTTCTAAGAGTTAAGGCAGTGTCTTCTAAACTATACCGTAGTAGGGTTTAGGGGTAATTTTTTAACGAGGGGGTATCTTCTAAATGGCCCTTTGTCCATTTATAAGAATTAGAAGACACCCTAAACCGTCCCAACTACAAGACAACCCAAGCATTTTTTCTAGTGTATAAGATAAGACATATATGTCTTATATCCGGGCGATGACGATGACAAAGGGCATGCTTGAAAACCAGCGCTAGCAAAACATCCCGCCTGCGATCATCCCTGACGGTTGCACACCGCTGCCATTGGATGTGAGCATCAAGTGGTTTTATAAAATAGGGCTTGTGATAGATCTATAGCGACTCGATCGCAGATTTCGGCATCAACTGCTCCACCCCTACAGGTTAGTAAACGCTCTTAATGTTGTGCCACACAATCCCTCTGCTACACACCCTGCTGCTATCGATGTTTCTATATGATGCTTCCCCTTGTTTTCTTATCTCTTCCTCTTGTTAGTTCCTAGAAAACATCTAGTAGCCACCTACTAGTATGATCCTTACTTGGATCGGTGAGGCACGCGCGAGTGTGCCTAAACATATGATTACTAAGTAATTTGAGACTCGTTGCGTCAGTGATGCCACTGATGGAAATAAGGAAAAATGGATGTTTGTGAGGACGCTCATTCTGCTTCAGCAGAAAAGTGGGTGAATCCCTCTTTATTACTGAGGAGCCGGATGAGGAGTCTGCAAAGGAGCATGATGACAATGATTGCTTGAGATGTTGGTCCCTCTAGATAATAGTATAACAAAGTCCAACACCGACCTCTCTAATGGCCCATTGATGTAGGTTCAGGAACTCGACTCAATGTTGAATTAGGCCTTTGAAGCGCTAACAGTTAATAATGTTGGTTCGCCTATTATATTCGTCAAGTGAATTTTGTATTAGGGTGTGTTCGTACAGCCTCGTATCATGTAAACGCTCATCAGACTTGTGCTGTACCATTTGTTTCAGTTCGATCGAATGTGATTACGTAAATTTCGGTGCGGTGCGTCGGGAATCTGATAATTTGTTCGCCTCATAACATGCCGTATAACAACGCCCTTATTGAAATGTAGGTAACAAAATAATCTCACGAAAGCGGGCAGTCATATGAAAATGTCAGAAAATATAAGTTAACATTTTCTGCCTGTAGGATTGGTTACTGTAGTTATAGTGTTTCCCTATTGGTGGTTCACCTTTCTTGTTTGTTCTTGCCTTTTAGTATTGCTTTCTCTATAATGAACACCCTCTTTTGGGCCTTCTCTCTCGACTTTCGTTCCTAGCTCTCGTCATGCCTAGGGTTCCTAACTCTTGCCTAAACTGCTCTCTCGACAGAAAATTGTCAGAGGTCCACTGGAGATCCCCGATGATCCTAGGGAAGGGTTACAGGCACGTCGGCCTGGGGGGTTATGGGCGCACTCACCCGCTATGTAAACAAGCCCTTTTATCCCAGTGGTTAGTGGCTGTGATTCTGACATGGTATCAGAGCGAAGGTCTCGGGTTCGATTCCCGGTGTGTGCACTTCGGGCATCCCAGTGCGGGGGGGTGTCAGAGGTCCACTGGAGATCCCCGATGATCCTAGGGAAGGGTTACAGGCACGTCGGCCTGGGGGGTTATGGGCGCACTCACCCGCTATGTAAACAAGCCCTTTTATCCCAGTGGTTAGTGGCTGGGATTCTGACAAAAATTGCGCTAAAAAAGGGGCTATCGTACTTTTAACTTGTTATAAAACACCCTTTTCACCTTGGGTCGATGATGCAGGGGAATGCAACAACACACCACACTCTATCAAACTCGGCCCTCGTTTCGCCGCCTCGTTTCTTCCCAAGTAGGCACAAGAGATTTCTAGAAGAACAGGTTTCTCCAGAACGTTTTGCACGCAGCGTGTTCATTTGCTCTGGTAGTGGAAAATTGGTGCAAAAATTGTAGTAATACTATTGTAAAACATTTTCTACTGCCCTTTTCTTCATTTGGCATATTACTCGATCTCGTTCGCCTAACCCCGCAAAAATGTGTCCGTCTAACTGACAATTTCGACGCACATTCCTTCATGCGGAATTTTTTGCGGAATCATTTGACACTGTAGGAAACCATATATAGGTATACGGAAACGCTAAGGCGCATATGCACAACCCCATATGTCCGCACAATTTACAAGCACAAAATATGTTATAGCGCATATTATGCGCACACATGAAACTATGACTCCCAAATCATATACCGAATAGTTCTGGCTATTAGACCCGGGGGACTCTCTACAAATACTTAAAAATATGCTTGGGTGGAATTATGGCAGCAACAATAAAAAAAAAAACCGGGATACGCTTATTTATCAACCATCAAACTGATATTTAGGGTGCACGACTCGATTTGGGACGGGGGGGTCTTATATTCGTAACGAATTTGCGCAAATTCCGCGCGTGCGGCGCGTCAGATCTGTGTCAGAATTCGAGTTTGACACAAACGAAGTGTCTGAATTCGAGTCTGACACAAAAAGCGCGTTAGAATTTGAATTTATGCCACTAACAGCTGTAAAAAATTAGCAACAGTAACTACTGGATAAAGAAATGGGGGAACTTATGATAATTAGGGGCAAAAGGGGGGTCCTCACAAAACCTGCCACAATAAGAGTCCCCCTACCCATTCAAGAGTCCTGGGGGACCTTCTTACCGGCGGATCTTATAGCCGGAACTATATGGTACGCGTATTTGTAAGGTGCTTGATGAAGCCTAAGCACTGTTACGAATAGTAATATTTGATATTACTGTGCACTCCTCACCGCAGCAGGCAATATCGGGAATGAACGCAGACGGTCAGACAGTTGGAATTGAACCGAAGAGTCAGACGGTTACAGCACATCTGGACCGTCGGAGCAGATGGCATCGGGCAGCTTCAGGCAGGATGGTTTTGGCGGGAACAGTTACGAAACTGTACGCGCCGCACGGTTGGAATGAATTCGAATAAGGGAATGTACCCCTTAGAGTACATGGCTAGTTAGGTCGTTTCGTATTCCCTTGTACTCATATTTATATTTCTTGTATTTGCATGTTTTATTCATCTCAAGCATTTTACATTCACTCTGCTATTGAGGTCAAGGGCCCACCAAACTATCTCACTACGTGCGAACCTTCCTGGGTAGATCCTGGGCTACGATCAACTTCTGATCGCAGCATGGTATGAGAGCGGCTCGGGAATCCTTCGCACTGCCACTCCCGAAAATTGCGACATTCGGAAAGTGGCGTCCGGCACACGCTCACGAGTGAAGATGGCCGGAGGATCTGGTGGTCAGACCAATCTGACGGCTGAAGCGCAACCCAACCCGGCTGCGACAAGCGAGAACACGACGACAATCAACTCCGAAGTTCTCGCACAACTTCTTCAGCGACTCACCAGCTTGGAGCAAGGACTCCAAACATTGCGGAACGGCGACGCGGGAACATCCTCGCAACCTTCCCAACTGGCCTCGACTGGCCAGAACGCCA